GAGAGGGGGCACAGATCCATTCCCATACAGTGACAACCAGAGTGGGCAGGGCTGGGATTGGAATTGCTTACAGAACTTGGATTGCCCAGAGTGGGGCACCTGACCCAGCCTTAGGGTTCAGGGAGAGCTTCCTAAAGGAGGGGATGGCTGACCTGAGAATGGGAGGATGACTAAGCAATTCTCCAGGGAAGTGGTAAGAGTTGAGGAAGAGTGTTTTAAGCAGTGGGAACAGCAAGTGCAAAGGCCCTGAGGCAGCATAGTGCCTGGGACGTTCCAGTGTAGCTAGAAGTGGATTTGGGTTTTATTCTGATTAAGATGTGGACATCTATATGCATTGTTTGGGCAAAAACCAGAACAGCATAACAACTTCCCAAATGGTCTCTATAATTAATTCTTAATTAATTCTTATTTTTAATGGATTATTTTGTATGCCTCTGGTATCTCCTAAACAGACAGCTACGGTGTGGACAAGAAGCGGAAACGGGGGCTGCCCGATGTCCTTGGGGAGCTGAATAGCTCTGGTGTGTTCACTCTGCCCCTTTTCACATCCCTCTCCAGGTTACTGGGAGGGGATGACTGACCCCACTGCCCTGGCCCACCCCAGGTTGGGGAGGAGGGGCTGTTGGGATCCAGGGGTCCTCATCTCTGTCTTCCCTCAGACCCCCATGGCATCGAAAGCAAACGGCGGAGGAAAAAGCCGGTCTTTCTGGATCACTTCCTGCCCGGCCACAGCTCAGGTGGGTCCTGGCTCAGTGCAAGCCCCTGCCCGCAAGGTGGGCTGAGGGTGAGCTGCATCCCTGCTTTTCTGGCCTTTTCAGGTCCCCCAGGAGCTCCTACTAGGGCAGTGCCTTACCACTTAGCCAGCAACATAAAGTGGAAAGAATAGTGGTTCTGGACACGGTCTGGAGGCTCTGATCTCCGCTGGGCCATTTACCTGCTGTGTGACCTTCATCAAGTTGCTCTACCTCTCAGATCCTCAGGGCTCCTCTGAAAAGTCTCACCACATACCTACCTCATTGACCTTTTAAAATTTAATGTACTTATTTTTACAGACACTATATAATCACATAACTGCTTTGTGTGTGCTTACTCACTTAATCTGGGTAATCACCCTGGGGGGGGTGGGTGCTGTCATCTCCCCCCACGCCCCACCACCATTTTACTGGTGAAGAACTTGAGGCCCAAAGAGGCGATGTCTCTTGCCCAAGGTCACACAGCCAGTCTGAGGTGGGGTGGGGAGCTGCACCTGGGTATAGGTTTAGATTAGTGATGACATGTGAAACCAGTAGTAGGGAGTAGACGGTGGATAAATGGGGGTGGTGTCAGAGCCAGCCAGCCTTGAATTCAGCCACCCTCTGGCCTCTTCTACCGCGGCCTTCGTCTCAACTCACATGCCAGCCTCCAGTTCCCATGAATTCTAACCCTGTCTGGCTGCCATCCAAAGCCCCCCCACTCGCTGACCACTAGCTCTAAGAATGCTGTCCCCAACACCCCAGCTACCCCACGGCGCCCAGCTCCCAGCCAGCTGCCAACCACTCAGAGTCTGCTGAGCCTGGACCACTCCAGCCAGTCCCACCTTGAAGGTTTCAGTTATCACCTGTTGTCCCCGCAACCCACTGTAACCAATGCCCAACAGCTCTGCCCCTAGAAACCCCCAATCCTAGTCTATTTCATCAACCTTCGATTCCCAATCCCCAAAGCCTCTGCTTATCAGCCACCTGTCATTCATCCACTTGTTCTATCACCCCGATTTCCCAGTGTCTAAAGTTCCCCTCTCTCATCCTTGTGGCAAAGCTGCCCTGGCACTAGAGTGTGGTGGTTAGGAGCATGGCCTCCGGAATCAGACTGGGTTTGAATTTGAGGACACAGTTTAGCCACTGTATGACCTCTTTGGGCCTCAGTTTACTTAACTTGCAGATGGAGACCCTCCCTCTTAGGGTTCCTTCCAGAAGTTAGTGAGGTCACATCACACAGTTATTTAGCACAGTGGCTGACATAGAGTTGGTGCCCAGGAGATGTTAGGAACTTGCCAGAAAGCAGGAATGCCACCTGCATTTGTTTAGCTGCATTTGATCATGTTTAACTGCATTCATAGCAAACCCCCAAATAACAGGAGCTTCAATAGGATAACAGGAGCTTCAATAGGATAGAACATTATTTCCCCTCTCACATAAACACAGTCCAGAGGGAGGTGGTCCATGGATGGTTTGGTGGCTGCATGATCATCAGAGACCCAAGCTCCTGCCATGTTCAGCTCATAGTTTCCACCTCATGGTCCAAGGTGGCTGTTGCAGCTGCAGCCATCACGCCCAGATTTCAGCCAGCAGCATTTAGTCACATCAAGCTACAAGGGAGGCTGGGAAATAAGAGTCCCAGCAGCGCAGCGTCTCTTTCTGAGACAAGTGTAGTCAGCCTTTGCTGGTGAGGTTTGTCTTGTCTCAAAAAGAGAGACTCTCCCACAGTGACACTTACCATTTTACTATACAATTTTGGGGCTTGTGACTTCTCCCTTGGGTCTCCCATGGTGTGGATGTTTCACTTATCGGGTTGTCTTTATTTTGCTGGGAGGGGGGGCTTTGGAGCCTCCTCTTCTTCCTCATTCTTGGGGAAAACTCCCTAGCACTACAGGAGCATGGTTTCTACCCTGCTTCTGCAACTCACCTGTGGACTGCAAGTTATTTTGCCTGTTTGCTTATTAAATGAGAATGATCCTAGTTTTAGTTTTTTGAGGAACCTCCAAACTGCTTTCCACGGTGGCTGTACCAATTTACACTTCCACCAACAGTGTAGGAGGGTTCCCTTTTCTCTACATCCTTGCCAACATTTGTTATTCGTGTCTTTTTGATGATAGCCATCCTGACAGGTATGAGGTGCTATCTCATTGTGGTTTTAATTTGCATTTCTCTAATGATTAATGATGTTGAGCATCTTTTCATGTGCCTTTTGGCCAACTGTAATGTCTTCTTTGGAAAAATGTCTGTTCAGGTCTTCTGCCCATTTTTTTAATTTTAATTTTTAATTTTTGATGTTGAGTTGTATGAACTGTTTATATTTTGGATATTAACCCCTTATCAGTCATATCATTTGCAAACACCATATGACCCAGTAATTCCACTCCAGGTATATATTTTTAAAAAAATGAAAAAAAAAAAAGAAAACACTAATTTGAAAAGATACATGCACCGCAGTGTTCATAGAAGCATTATTTACATTAGCCAAGAAATGGAAACAACTTAAGTGTCCATCAATAAATAAATGGATAAAGAAGATGTGGTACATATACACAATGAAATACTACTCAGCCATAAAAAAAAAAAAGAAAATTTGCCACTTGCAGCAACATGGATGGACTTGGAGGACATAAGCTTAGTGACAGAGAAAGACAAGTACTGTATGATACCACTTACATGTGGAATCTTAAAAAAGAAAAAAGCTAGTGAGTATAACAAAAAAGAAACAGACTCACAGATACAAAGAACAAACTAGTTGGTTACCGTAGGGAGAGGAAAGGGAGGAGGGACAAGATAGGGGCAGGGGATTAAGAGGTACAAACTACTATGTATAAAATGAATAAGCTATAAGGACATATTGTACAGCACAGGGAATATAGCCAATATTTTATAATAACTATAAGTGGAGTATAACCTTAAAAAATCGTGAATTACTATGTTGTACACCTGGAACATATAATACTGTACATCAACAAAATTATTGTAACAAAAAATTACCAAAAAATTGTAATTATTTTGTAATTACAAATGTTTTGTATTTTGTAACTTTGTAATTTAAAAAATTATTGTAACAACAACAAAAAAAGGGAGATAGAGAACGGTGATAGTCCCTACTCAGAGTTTCTTGGCATTATAAGAGGCCACACGGATAAAGCATTTAGCAACAGAGGGGGCATTTGAGTTAGGGCCTGGCCAGAGGTCGACCCTAAAAGCCCACCATACTTTCTTCTTTCTTCTCATCCCTGCAGGCCTGTTCCTCCCGCCATCAGCGCTGTTGCCAGACACAGACTTCTTCCCGGGCACCGTATCCCTCCCAGGCCTGGAGCCCCCCTGCGAGCCGGACCTCCTGGACGACGGCTTTGCCTACGACCCCGCTGCCCCCACGCTTTTCACCATGCTGGACATGCTGCCCCCAGCGCCACCACTCACCAGCGCTGTCGCGGGCAATGGGGGTGCAGGGGCCGCGGTCGGGGAGCCCCCCGGCACCGAGCCGCTGACGCTGGACTCGTACCAGTCCCCGGGCCCCGGGGACGGAGGCACTGCCAGCCTCGTGGGCAGCAACATGTTCCCCAATCAGTACCGCGAGGCGGGCTTTGGGGGCAGCCTCCTGTCCCCGGGGCCTGAGGCCACGTAGCCCCCGCGGCGCTGGAGGAGAGGCGCTGGGTGGGGAGGGAGGTGGAAGGGGCCGTGCGAACCCAACCAGGATATCCAGCACCCCCCATACCCTTGGGCGGCCCTTGGTCAGTCTTCCGACGTTCTCATCCTTCTGAATCGGACATCTTCAGCGCTGGCGAGAAACTCCGTAGCATCGGTTTCCCCTGAGCCCATTTTACAAGTGAGAAAACTGAGTCTGGAGAGGAAAAGGGGCTTGCTTGGCTCTCAAGCGCTCGCTTGTTAAAGCTGCTGCCTCAGCCCTCACAAGCGGGGGCACCTTCTCCAGGCGGATTCTGTTGTGTACATATGGGAGGAGGATGCAGATCCCCCGCCCTCCGTCCCCAGGCTTGAAGGTGGGGGGTAGGTTGTTTGTTCTGAGTCTTCCCAATAAAGATGAGATTTTGAGCTTTGGGGGTCTCTTCTCTTCTCCGCTTGAGAAACACCCGCGGCCCTTACGTACAAAGTCTCCAGGATCTCCTGACGCACCGCTGATCTCCTTCAAGCCCCGCCCCTCCCCCCTCGCCCGAATATAGGCCCCGCCCCTCGCGTGAGCGGAAGCACCGTCCGCGAGGCTCCGCCCCTCCCCCTTCACTCAGCCTCCCACTTCCGCTTCCGGTGCGGGCCGCGCGCGAGCGCAGCAGTGGGAGGCGGCGGCGAGCTGCCGAGTGCAGGCTGCTGGCCGTGACCTCCTGGCTTCGGGCGGTCGTCAGCCCAGCTTCGTCCTTGCCGCGACCTCTCCCCGGTCTGTTGTGAGCCTTCGCTCGGCCCCGGCCTCGAGGGCCGACCGCTCCGCACCCCCTCGGCCTGCCGGGCCTGAGGCCGCGCCCTGCCCCCGCCGTCGGGCCGAACTCGCCGCGTCGGACCCCGCCGCTTGCCACAGGTCCCTTCCTCTTGTCAAAAAAACTTAACCCGAACCCTCAGGCCCAGACCCGGTGTTCGGCCCTGTCCAAACCTTCGGGCTCTGCCTCTGTCCTCCAGCCTCGCCCCGAAGCTCAACCCACCCCGTCCTGTCTGCCCGTTCCGCTTCCCTCAGTCTCTACCCTACCCTCCCGCCCCCAATTTAGATTCCGTCTTTAGACTTAAGCCGCGCTCTGGTCTCTCCTTAACAGCACTCTCCCATGCTCCCCCTCCTCCCCCAAGGGTCGACGTCTTCCGTCCACGCCCTTCACCTGCCCTCGACCCCTACCGCCAAGCCACTACTCTGTTCCCATAAAATCTTTCTCCTCTTCGTCCACTTGCCTTCATCTCCGGACCCCTGCTACCCATAGGCACACCCACAGATGCCCCCTGGTGGGAGCCCTTTCAGCTCTTTCCCCTCCCTTGAGCTCCAGCCCCAGCTGCTCCAGGTCTGTTTCCAGACCTTGCTTCCAACACTCGCTCCTTCCATTCCCGAACCTTTCATCCTTGATTCTGGCTCCTCGAACACAGGATACCCCTTTCCCAGGGATGCTCACTCCAGAATCACCCGAGGGGGCGGTTTCAGAATGCCCAGGGTACTGGATCAGAGTTGCCTGGGATACACCTGAGCATCTGGAGCAGGGTTCCATAGCCTCACTTCCCCTCCCTGAAGCTGCTCTTCAGGATCAACTCTGTCACCAACTTGTTAGATGACATAGAGTCTGTCTATATGGTTTTTAAAGCCCGTCTGACACCCGTCTCCTTATCCCTCAGGTTGAGGCCCCAGGCTTGGCCTCACCACGATGTGGCACGAGGCTCGGAAGCATGAGCGGAAGCTTCGAGGTATGATGGTCGACTACAAAAAGAGGGCAGAGCGGCGGCGGGAGTACTATGAAAAGATCGTGAGTAACCTTTAATCTGGGCTGGGAGCTCTGCTGGAGGGTGGGGCCCGGTCCTCCTGGTACGATTTGGGCTTGGAAGTGCGCTAATGTTAGAGCCCAGTTTCCTCCAGAGAATGTCCATTTTTTGAGCATAATCATTGGTAAAAACTTGAGGCATTCTGTTTATTGTAGTATACTGCACTGTTTGGTGTGGACTCAGTACAGAGCTGGGGTCAGTAGGAAGGAGGAAAGTCTTTGTAACACTCAGAGCAGTCCAGACATAAGATTGGCCACCTCCGAATGGTGTCTATCCTGCTTATTGCTGTATTCACAGTGCCCAGAAGAGCTCAGCATTCTTGAGGTTGAATTTGGCACCCCAAAGGAGTGCCGTCATCATTCACTGAGTCAAGTCTGACCATTTCCCTCCCCTGTTTGATGCTTCAGTTGCTTTTGGAGAGAAGAGTGCACTGCATCTTGTGATCTAAAAGGCCCTTGTGGTCTGGCCTCTCAGCTTCATCCTTAGGTAGCTCCATTGGCCTTTTTTCTGTCTCTGCCACCACAGGGATTGAACCTGTAATGCGTCCTCTCACCTATTTAACTGTTACTTGCTCTTGAGACCCCAGCTTGAAATGGCATTTGCCATTTCAGTTCAGTTATGAACTGGCATTTGCCAGTTCAGTTCTCCTGTTAGATGGTATTTGTTATAGACGTTTTCATTTACCATCGCATCACTGCCTCAGCCTCCTCCCTTGTCTCCTGGCCTCCAGTCCTGCCGCCTCTAATCCACCCTCCAGGGTGGAGGGGCCAGAGAGGTCTTTCTAAAGCACAAAGCTGACCCTGTCCCTCCCTTGCTCAGAACTTCTCTGTGACTCCCTAGTGCCGGGCTCCTCAACCCAGCGTTTAAGACCCTACATGTTCTGCCTTTTACCACCCCCTCCAGACTCTTGTCACTCTGCTTTCTGCCTTGTTCCTTTGCTCACGCCATCTGGCGTCCTCAATATCTAGGCTACTTTTTCTAACAAAAAAAAGATGTATAAAGAGTTACCATTTTACCTCCCCAAATTATATAGCCCTCTCCAGCCACAGGGCCTTTGCATGAGCTTTTCCTATTACTCGATTAACTGCTGCTCATCTGTCAGATCTCAGTCCTCAGGGAAGTCTTTCCTCATCCTCCATACTCAGCCGTCATAGCTCCCTGTCATTCCCCTTTGCGGAATTTAGCACACATATCCAGCTCTGTAGCATTGGGGACTAGGTGTATTTGGGTCATGTTTGCATTCCAAGCTTGAGCCCAACGTGGTTTAAAAGAACAGATGAATAAAGCATAGCAGTTACCATTTTAATTGGTCCTTCTCAGGCACCAGGCTCTGAAAAGAGCTTTAGATGCGTGATTTCTTTGAATCCCCACAGTCACCCATGAGACAGAGGCTGCTGTTACCCTAGGAGAGGAATCTTTGAGAGCGCCTCAGTTGCCTTCTGTCACCCGGGAGGGAACCACTGGGCTGTAGAGAGAGCCCCTCTCCAGTGGTGTCAGAATAACTATAACATGACCACAAGGGCAGGGGTTGGGTCTATGTTGCTTATTGGTGAGGCCCCAGCAGTGGACCAAGAACACAGTCAGTGCTCAGGAGTGAATAGCTGCCATTTGTTAAGGGTTCGTGGTGTGCCAGGCCCTGTGCCTGCTACTTTGGCACATTCTTTCTAGTCCTTTCAGCAGGCCTGAGAGATTGGTATTGATCCCTGTGTTAAAGGTGATGCTGATAACAATGGCTAATTCTGTTGAGCATTTATGTGTTATCCACTGTGCTGAGCACTTGATGCGTCTCCACTTCACCAAATTGTCACGCCCAGCCTGGGAGGTGGTTTGCTTTTTATTGATTCCATTTCACAGATGAGCAAACTGAGGCTCAGAGAGTCATGGCCTAGATCATATAGCAAGAGGGCAGAGCTGGCATTCTAACCCAGACTCTCTGACCCTGGACCTCTCTTAGCTCTTCACCTGGGCTTTCTACTGCAGAAATAGAAGTTCAGAAAGGTGCAGCAGCTTGTTCAAGGTGACACGGCCGGGAGGCAAAATACCAAACCATACCAGGTCCTTAAGAGTTTGGAGTCACAGGGCTCTGGGTTCCAATTCCAGCTATTCCACTTACATACCATGTGGCCCGGGCAAGTGACTGTATCCCTGAGCCTGGTTTCCTCTTCTGCATGTGAAATGATGTATCCTATAAAATCACGTTTGGCTGTGAATAACGGAGACCTAAAGCATCAATGGCTTAGACAAGATAGAAGTTTATTTCCTTTTCACATAAAAGCGCAGAGGCGGCCATTTCTGCTCAGGGACCGTTTTGTTGTTCAGCCATGCATGGCTTCTCTTCCCAGTGTTGTCTTAAGGTCTAAGAGGGCTGCTCAAGCTCTAGCCATCATGTGTTCATTACATCCAGCGGGGAAGAAGAAGGGAGGGAAAAGAGGCCAGGGGGCTCATGCCAGTTAAGAAAGTCTCTAGATGTTTGCACATGGTATGTCCACTCATATCCCCCTGGCCGGCAAGTAACCCCATGGTCACAAACAGCTGTCAGGAAGGTTAAGAGGCGTAGACTGTATCCTGGGTGGCCTAGTGCCAGTTAGGAGTCTTATTACTATCGAGGAAGGGGCAATGGATGTTGGTTGCCAACTCATGGTCTGCCACAAATGGTGGGGACAAGGACACCTCTCTCCCGGGCTGTTGGAGTGTAGTGAGATTGGGCACAGAGACCACTGAGGGCAGGCCTGCCCAGGGTAACTTGCTCAGTAAATGCCGGCTCTTGTTGGTTCTGAGGTTGTTGTTATTACCAAGTAGAGCTGGACTAGCATCCAGGTTGATGGATGGTGTGGAGGAAAAAAGGCTGGAATTGGGCCACTTAGAAGGCCTGGGACTCCGTGCTCTTGTTCTTGTAGCTGGGGAGCTCCCTGAGCTTTGTTTTCCCCCTTGGGACAGTGGTGATGACAGGGTGACAGGGAAGAGCTTCAAGAATACAACAGTGTCTGTGGGGTGCTTTGTGGTGCAGGCCTGTACAAGCAACCATTGTCCCCGTACGAGAACGTGATGAGCATTCAGATCACGGCCACCAAGCTGTGGATGATAGCTGCTTTGAGGAGGGGATGGGGCTGTCACACGGGTCTCTCATCTTGCTCTTGGGCCTAGGGAGGCAGCTGAGGCGAGCACTGAGGAAGCTGAGGTCAGCTGTGATGGGCCGGGCAGGTGTGTCTAGGCAGCCGGTTTCTCTGCTCATCTGTCCACGGTGCCTGCTCTCTCTCCCTAGCTGACCCTAGTTCTGTCATTTCTCCTGTCCTTGTCAGCTTTCTTCTGATCAGCGGTTTGGATAAAGAAACAATTCCCTGTTGATGTGAAAGTGGGAAATAAAACATCTCAGCTCCGGCATCTCCTTACCCAGGAGGGCCCAGGCTAAATGACGCATCACCTGGCTCCCCTATCCCAGCACTGCCCACTCTAGGTCGTCACTGTGGGGGATGGGTCTGTCCCCCACACTGGACTGTGAGCCCTGAGGGCCAGGCTGGCTGTCTCAGTCAGTGCCATGGCCCTAGCACAACGCCTGCACCTGGAGTCGGTGCCTGCTTAACAGTTGACTCCATGAACTCCTGTGACCCCCTCTGATCCTGGAGATGTAATGATCCGTTGGTTAAGAATAGATTTTGGGTCTTGAAGAAATATTTGTACCTGTTCGTTGGAGTATGATTCACCATAGCCAAGATGTAGAAACAACCTAAATGTCCATCAGCTGATGAATGGGTAAAGAAAAGTGGTCCATACATACAGTGGAATATTATTCAGCCTCAGAAAGAAAGGAAATCTTGTCACATGCTACTGCGTGGAGGCACCTTGAGGACATTATGTCTAGTGAAATGAGCCAGTCACAAAAAGACAAACACTGCAAAATTCCATGTGTATGAGGTCTTAGAAGCAGTAGAAACAGAACAGAACCTTAGAAACAGAAAATGGTTGTTGCCAGGAGCTGCGGGAGGGGAAAAGGGGAGTAGTTGTTCATTGGGTATAGAGTTTCGGTTTTGTAAGCTGGAAAAGTTCTAGAGATCCGGTGCAGAGCAAGGTGCATATAATTAACGCTATTGTACCTTTCACTTAAAAAAAAAAAGAGTGGATTTTGGAGTCAGGACCATTTAGGCTCAGATCCTAGTTTTGTTTATGGCTGGTGTGATCAGGAGCAAGTGAGCCTCCCCACTCTGAGCTCCAGTTTCCTCATGGGACATGGGGGTAAGAGTAGCACCTTTCTCCCAAGACTGAGACGTTTGAGATGTACATAAGGCACTTAGTTCAGCGCCTGGCTTTTATTTTTATTATTATTATTTTAATATTTATTTATTTGGCTGCACCGGCTCTTTAGTTGGGGCACACGGGATCTTAGTTGTGGCATGCATGCAGGATCTAGTTCCCCGACCAGGGATCAAACCTGGGCCCCCTGCATTGGGAGCATGGAATCCCAACCACTGGACCACCAGGAAAGTCCCCAACTCCTGGCTTTGAGTACGGTTCCTTGACTTTTCCAGATGCTCCCAACAGAGCCAGTCCATGGACCCAGGTTTTTACTCCCCGCCCAATGCTATTTTCCTTGTTGTGGTGCTGGCACTGCCGGTGGCTTCACGCTACAGGCCGAAGTCCATCCTGCACACAGTGTCCCACGTGAGTCTTGGCTGTGGGAGCTGGGCATTTGGCCTGGCGCAGCCTCAGAACACGAGGGGCTCTTGGCCTTAGACCTGGCTGGGGCGGTCACGGGCCGAGGGCGCTGTGTGGCCCAAGGTGAGGGACTGAGGGAGGCAGGGGAGGTGCGGGATGAGGAGTTGGATTCCAGCAGCGCCACCCCGCTGGACTCCGTGGGCTCGGGTGTACCCCACCCTCAGCGTCTTCACATGTGAGAGGAGAGGGAGAGCGGCCTGGCGCCTAGTGAGTGCAGGACAGGTGGTAGCCCCGTAGCAGCTGTGGTCACTGGGGAGCGTCCTTCTCAGCTCCTGCTCGCCTGGCGGTTGGGGCGGGAGGTGGAGGCAGAGCGGGAAGTGCAGGCGCTTGGGAGCTTGATGCTGACGGTTTTCTCCTGCAGGGGCTCTGCCTCCTCGTCTGTCGGTGAGGGTTTGTTCTCTTTCCTTCCGTCAGTGTTCCTGAGCGCCTGCCGTGGGCCGGTCCCTGCTCTAGGCGCTGGGGATACAACAGTGAGCAAGACAGGTCCTGCGTCGTGGAAGCTGCGGTCTAGTGTGGGAGACAGGTGACCCGTGAGGGGCGGTGCTCCGAAGCAGACGGTGCGGTTAAGGAGCTAGAGTCAGGCGGGTTGCGGGGGAGCTGTTAGGCAGAGCTGACAAGGAAGGCGGCTAGAAGGAGATGGGGAATGTGTGCTGTGGTCTGGAGGCCAGGCGCCTGGAGCAGAGGCGGGGGAGAGAAGTCAGAGAGGGCCAAGTTGGAGCGGAGCGGCGAGGCTCTGAGCAGGCGGACGTGGCCTAATAGGTTTTAGCAGAACCCCTCAGGCTGCCTCGCGGAAAATGGGCTGCAGAGGGCAAGGGTGGTAGCAGGGAGCGGGGAGGAGGCCAGGAGGCCGCAGAGTGGTTGGGGAAGGTGGCAGTGCTGCGGGGGAGGGGGGAGGCGGGATGGGAAGTGGTTGGGCTCTGGGGCGGTGGTGCTGGGAGCTTGGCCAGGGTTTAGTGGGGAGCACCAGCAGCCCGGCTCGTGGCTCCTGTGGGTTCCTCTGACGTGGCAGGGGCTGCAGCTCGCCAGGGCCCGGCTCTCGGGAAGCTCAGTGGTGGGAGCTGCTGCGGCTAGATTTTATCCTTTCCTGACGCAGTTCTGGTGACTTGGAATCGTGACTCCCCACAGGAGGCCTCAGGCCTGAGGCGATGAGTGTAAGGTGTAACATCAGGTGGTGGGAGCGACTCAGGGGCCATTCTCCATCTAGGTACCTTTGTTCTTTAAAACAGCTTTATTGAGATATAATTCACATACTGTACAATTCAGTGGTTTTCAGTATATTCACAGGGTTGTGCAAGCATTTCCACAATGTAATTTTAGAAAATTTTCATAAGCCCCAAAAGAAGCCCCATACCCATTAGCGGTCGGTTCCCCGCGCCCCGCAGCTCTGGGCAGCCACCAGTCTACGTTCTGTCTCTGGATTCGCCTGTTGTGCACATTTCACATAAATGGAATCATACAATGTGTGGCCTTTTGTGACTGACTTGTTTCGCTTAGTGTAATGTTTTCAGGGCTCATCCGTGTGGTAGTGTAGATCAGTACTCCATTCCTTTTTACTTCCAAACAATATTGCATTGTCTGGATATGCCATGTTTTGTTTATCTGTCTTGCGTTGATGGACATTTGGATTGTTTCCAGGGTTTGGCTATTGTGCATAGTGCTGCTGTGAACTTTTGTGTACAAGTATTTGAGTCTCTGTTTTTAGTTTTTTCAGGTATATACCTAGGAGTGGAATTGCCTGGTGTCATACGGCAGTTCTTTGTCTAACCTTTTGAAGAACCTTGTTTCTGCATACTCTTGTCAATATTACTTGCTATCATCTGTCCTTTCAACTTTAGCCATCTTAGTGTGAGGTGGTGTCTTGTAGTTCTGATTGCTGTGTCTCTGGTGAATAGTGACATTGATTGTCCTTTCATGAGCTTATGCAGTCCTGGTGTCTTAGAGGCTGGTCCTGGCCAAAGTGCTCACACCTGCCTCTGAATGAGTGGCCTTGGGGTGGGGGTGGGGTGAAGAGTTGGGGGAAGTATTTTAGGGAGGTGGGTCTTGGTACTGGCTGTGTAGAAGGTGGGGCCAGAGCTCAGAGCCTCTTGCTACCACCTCGAGAGGAAACCCTTCCCCTGTCTCCAGGGGTTAGGTGGCCCCCGTTAGTGCTGCCAGCCTTGTGTAGGTTCTTTTACCTCTGAAGTAGGGCCTCTTGGCGTCAGAGGTGAGCCTGCTGCTAACTTGGTTGTGTGGGAGTGGCAGGGTTTGGGGCTCCGTTGGGTGGTGACCTCCATCTTGTCCTTCCCTGCAGAAGAAGGACCCAGCCCAGTTCCTGCAGGTGCATGGTCGAGCTTGCAAGGTGCACCTGGATTCTGCAGTTGCCCTGGCCGCCGAGAGCCCCGTTAACATGTAAGACTGGGTCTGGGGGTAGGGTAGTGTCTGTGACTGAGGGTTGGAGGGCCAAAGGGACCTGGGGTAGGACACAGACCTTCGGAGTCTGAGAGAGGGAAGCTTTGGCCTGCATGGGAAGGTGAAGGTCACTAGCTAAGGCTGTACGGCAGCGGTTGGGATAAAGGCCCCGTGGTGTAGTGGTTGGAGGAGGACTTAGAGGAGAATGAGTGGGGCCGGGGCCAGAGGCCCAGATGCAGCAGAGAGTAGGTTGCCAGAGGGGGTGTTTTGGGGTGACTGGGCTTATAAAGGTGGCTCCTAGGACGTGGTTCGAGTTCTCCACTCTTGCTTGGTTCTGAAAAACAGGGCCCCAGTTTCCCCAGGGCCCTATTCTTGTCAGGAGCCTGAATGTAGATTTGGTGGGGGGGTTGGTGGCATAAGGGACTGCGTGGTGGGGGGTGAGGGTGGGGCTGGCATGGGGATCAGAGGGCTTGGGGGCCAGACTCCCAAGCGTGAGGTGGCAGGGAGCAGGTACTTTGTGTCCTGGGCAATGGGGACCCTACGCTCCTTGCTCCCCTGCTCCCCACTTCAGGATGCCCTGGCAGGGGGACACCAACAACATGATTGACCGCTTCGATGTCCGTGCCCACCTGGACCACATCCCTGACTACACCCCACCTCTGCTCACCACCATGTAAGCTGCCTCCCCCAGGGGTTGCCAGGCAGGGAGTCCTACCCAGCAGCACCTCTTCTTTCCTGAGCCCTGGCCTGCCTGTCACCATCCTGGGAAGGAAGGAGGTGTGCACGTGGGGAGGCCCCCCCGCCCGTCAGACTGAGCCAGGCCCCTCATCCCCCTTCCTGCTGGCTTGGGATGGGGGTCTGCCCTCTCCCTGTGGTCTCAAGACCTTGGCCTCCCCCAAAGCTCCCCAGAACAGGAGTCGGACGAGCGGAAATGTAACTACGAGCGCTACCGAGGCCTGGTACAGAACGACTTTGCTGGCAGTAAGTGACCTGGGGCGGCAGGGGAGTGGGGTTTTTTGGCGGGAGGGGCGGAGGGTGTCCCTGGAGACTGGAAGACCTCGACAAGGTTGGCAAGAAAAGTTATCCCAGGCCTTTCTACTAAGGGGCCTTGGGTTTTGGTCCCAGCTCTGTCATGGACCCGCTCTGTTCACATCCCTTTCTCTCTTGGGGCCCTCTGTCTCTGGAATTGGTACAGGAGATGTCTGGTGAACTAGATGGTCCTACCACATCCCATGCCCTCTAACTCTGTGGCGTTTTTTCCTAAAAAATTGGTGAAAATAGCAAGAATACATTATTTTCCTCTGTGTATTTCCCCCGCCTGCATGGGTCAGAATGTTAGCTCTGGAAAGGAAATTTCTCCTTGTTTTAAATGAATATTTAGACAGTTTGGCAGTTTGCCAAGCGTTCATATATGTCCAGTGTTCTTTTCCCAAGCCATCACCGTTAACATTTCACAAATGAGAAAATAGGTTTAGAGACTTTTCCCCTCTCTGGGCTTGTGGTGGTTCAGACCCTGACAAACTTAGAGTTTTTTGTCTCTGTTACCTCAGTACATCTGCATAACCTCCCAGCAAGGTAGGGATGATGCCCCCATTTTACAGATGAGGATATCGAGGCTCAGTGGTTGGGGGGGACACCATGTCCAAGGAGTTGGGGTTCTCACCCTGCCCTTAACCACTGCTGCCTCCTGCTGGACAGCTCTGAACTTCAGCTCGCCTCCTGAGAAGGACTTTGAGATACCCCCACACACACTCCCAGGATCTCCCTGTGAAATTAAGGGCCACACACTTGTCCCTTAGCCTGGCCAGTGTCGGTCTCCTCCTGGGGAAGGGTGATAAAGGTGGATTCTGTCCCTTGGGGTGGTTGTGAGGGCTCGGTGAGGAGTGCATAAGGCCCTGCACCGCGCCTGGCAGTCAGCCCTCCCAGTGGGTTCACTGTCCCCGTATTTGTTTCTAAAATAGGTGTTTTAGCATCTCTAAAATCAGAGATTGTCAAATTTCGGCAATCACTGAGGCCTTAGAATCAGGGGGAATGCGTCATCATTGATGCCGTTGTTGTTTTTGCCTTCCCCCCAGGCTACATAGATTCTTGGTGATGGAGCCAGGGTTTCCCTCAGTTCTGACTCTGTATTCGTTCATTCATTCCCGCAGTTCCTGAGCACCTGTGGTGCGTCGGGCACTCTTCTGGGAGCAGGGGTCTAGTGGGGGAGCCATGTAATCACGAAAGCAGGTGGTAGTCACAGCTAAGGCGCCGTCACGACAGATGTGTGCTGTTCTGAGGTGCTTGGCCAAGGCTGGCTCAGGGAAGGGTGGGCAAGATTTCCCCAGTGAGGAGAGGCCGCTGGACTCCGGGCCAGGAGGACAGCCCTGTGGGGGAAGGGGGCGGGGTGGCCTTGGGGGACAGGGAGGGCTGGCTGGCTGGAGCTCACGTGAGGCAGGTCAGCGGGGCTTTGTGGACCTACCAGCAGAACCACGGAGGCTGCGGGGAGGGCTGTACCGTGGCCCGCCTGGGCCCGCCCGGCCCACGCACCTCGCTTTACAGATAGAAGAGCTGAGGCCCACCGAGGCAAGGCCAGGGTCCCACTGGGATTCAGGCATGTCTCACTGCAGGAAGACCCGGAGAGGCTCCAGTACATTGCTGAGCTCCTTGAGTTGCGTGTTGTGGATGAACGAGAGCCCAGATTAACCGCGCTTAATTTAAACTGGCCCACAGAGGCACAGAGTGGAGTGGCCCGTGGGGTCCAGGTGACTGACGTCCAGTGCTCAGGATAGCTTTGTCGTTCTGAAGGGTCCAGCTGAAGACCTTCCTAACAGTGGTAACAGTAGCAGCGCCAAAATACAACGCGCTCGTTCTGCCAGTGATCCCATTTTACAGAAAAGGAAACTGAGGCACAGAGTGGCTCATTTCCTTGATCAGGGTTGCATGGCGAGTCAGTGGTGTCACCAGGGCCCTCCTGCAGGTGCTGTGTCCTCAACACACACGGTGTGATTATCTGGGAATCCGTGACTCTGACCCTGGCTGTGCTTGGGTCACACCTGTCCTCCTACCCCCTCCGTTCTTGTGTCCCCCCTGAATTCCCAGTGTCCCCAGCATCCCCTGACCCACGTGCCTCTTGCCTTGCCCCAGTCTCAGAGGAGCAGTGCCTGTACCAGATCTACATTGACGAGTTGTACGGAGGCCTCCAGAGACCCAGTGAGGATGAGAAGAAGAAGTGAGCCGGGGTCTGGGGCACCGTGGGCTTGAGGGAGGCAGGCAGACTGTGAGCCCCACAGGGCACAGCCTCGTCCATCCTGTCCACCTTGGGCTCCCCAGAGCTGGGGCTGGTGGTTGGCACAGGGTAGGCGCTCGATTGATCAATGTTTAGAGGAGGAAGCAGCAGCTGGACAGGAAGGGTCTGCTGACAAACCTCTACACTGCGTTTGCAACGCATGGGATGGTAGGAGGTGAGTTAGGGCAGGGAGTTAGAGCAGGCCCCGGGCTGGACAGGCCTGGGTTTGAAACCTGCCAGTGAGGACTTCCCTCCGAGCCTTGGCGGGCTCCCCTGTGAGGGGGCTGGCGGCAGTGCCCCCTGCCTGGACTTTCCAGGGCTGCAGGAGACGGAGCTTGTGAAGTGTTTGTCCTCTGCTGCCGTGAAGTAAGCTTGTGGTCAGCAGCGGCTGATGTCGCTCTGGAGAGGGACCTCTCCAGGCTGTGTCCCTTGAGGAATGGCCCCCCTTCGCCAGGACAGCCGCTGCTCCACTTGTTCCCCAGCGGTCCTGGAGCCCTGCCTCCTTACCACCTGCTGCTGCGCAGCTCCCCCACTGCGATCCTAGTGCTTGCTGCTTCCCTCCCTCTGAAGAGTTCTCACGGTGTGGCGGGAGCTTCCTGATGACTCTCATCCTTATCCCTGACACCCCCCCCCCCCCCCCCCCCCCCGTTCAGGACGAGGCCGGCACCGGGACAGCGTCAGGGAGTGTTGACTAAATTCAGCAGCAGGCGTGCACTAGGCCCCTACGCCGCTCTGGACCAAGCTGGGCCGTGCTGTTACCCGGGATAACGCGGGCCTGCCCTTGCAGGACTCACAGGCTGGGGCCGGGGGAGACAGATCCAGTAGCAGTGGGGCTGGGGATCTGACGATGGGGCTGGACCCCGCCTGAGGGAGGACTTTCTGGAGGATGGTGCATTGGAGCTGGAGGAGGAGGGAAGAGCCGGTGGGAGGTGGCCACAGAGGGTTCTAGGCTGAGGGCGAGCGTGAGTGAGGGTCTGCAGGCAAGGGTGCCGAGCTGCCCTGGAACTTGGGAGGGCAGCGTGCGGTGTGCGGGCCCTCGAGGCTTGGCCTGGGCTGCATCCTGCCCATAGTCTGCGCCCCCGCCCCGCACCTCCCTGGCTCATGGCTCCCCTGTCCCAGGCTGGCGGAGAAGAAGGCTTCCATTGGCTACACCTATGAGGACAGCACGGTGGCTGAGGTGGAGAAGGTGGCAGAGAAGCCGGAGGAGGAGGAGTCACCGGCCGAGGAGGAGAGCAACTCGGACGAAGATGAGGTCATCCCCGACATCGGTGGGGTCCCCTCTCTGCCCTCCCCCCCCACAGTCCCTGGGCGTTGTTTTCGTGTCTCGTCCCGCCCCCTCTGTGGGGTGCCCCCGTGCTTAGGAGCCCCGCCTGTCCCGCCCCTGCTCCAGGGCGCTGCTGTCCTCCCTTCTCACTCGTGTCCTCCTGGTCCAGCCTCCCTTTCTATGTCTCTCTCCTTCCTCGTTTCTAGGATTCTGCTTCTATGATATTGTCCCCACCTAGGTTCTGAGTCTGTCCTCCTTGCTTGTGTCAGCCTCTCTGTCTCTCCCTCCCCTTCTCTTTCTCTCTCTTCTGGAAAACAAGTGTTCCTCCAGTTATAGAGCCTCATCCCCCATGCTGCCACCCACCTCCACCTAAATGCCTGTCTTCCCTCCACCTCTCACCCTTTCTCACTCAGCCCACCCACTGTTTATTCAGACTTACTCAGACATATGTGAAGTGTCCGTCCCCCTTCCACTGAGTCATCCAGCATCTGGCTTCTGAATGCCTGTGACCCGAACCCCCTGCCTCCCGCCCACCTAGATCTTCAGCCGCCCTCTGTCCGTCCCCCGTTCACTCCCCCGTTTACTTCCTCCACATCACACACCCCTCCCGGCCCCCACCCACCGTTTGTTGTGCTTGCCTCTGGCCAAGCCCTGCGCCAGCCTGGGGATGCCAAGATGAGCTGACTCGTTCCCTCCCTGCAGAGGCCTGCGGTCTGGTGGGCACCCCCGCCCCCAACTCCCGGGGCACTGCCCCTTCTCCCCTTCTCGCTCGGCTTTGGTCCCTGACAGCCTTTCTTTTGGTGTAGACGTGGAGGTGGACGTGGACGAACTGAACCAGGAGCAGGTGGCAGATCTCAACAAACAGGCCACGACCTATGGCATGGCCGATGGCGACTTCGTCAGGTGAGGCCGGCGGGCTGACGCCTCTCCACGTCCTGTGGACCTGGCATATGTTGTTACCCCTCTTCCCGAGCAGTTGTGTGCCTGGCCCTGCGCCAGGGCATCACACACAGAGGCTCCTGAGCTCGTGGGGTGGGTACTTGTGACTGGCTTCAGCCTTGTCGAAGCGGAGGCTGCCCCCAGCTGTGTGACCTGAGGCCACCGGACTCCTGGAAACTCCCGGGTTCCTGGGCCTGGTGGACAGCGCCCTCCAGTGGAGAGGCTTCGCTCCCCGGATCATTCACTCGCAGTTGCTGGTTGAGCCTCTGCCCTGTGCCATACCTGTGTGGGTCACATAGACCGGTCCCATCTGACAGGGTATTGAGCTGGAGTCTGAACACAGCGTCCTCTGCCCAGAAGCCTCCATGACTCCCACCTCCCTCAGGCGCAGCCAGCCTCCTCACCACGGCCGCAGAGTCTCACCTGTCTGGTCTTCTGCCCACATACTGCACCCCTGCCGGCCTCCATGGCCTCTTTACCCCTTCGGTGCCTGAGGCCCCACCTGACCTCGGGGCCGCTCAGTGTGCCGTTGGCTCTGTCGGCACCTGCTCCGCTCACTGTCCCGGGTTTCTCATCAGCTGTCACTTCTCTCTGGGTGGCTTCCCCAACCTCCCTGTTGAAGGCTGCAGCAGCCTCTACCAGTTCCCTGGACTTCCTTCCCTCTTCTGAGATTTACTTTCCCATCGAGGCTTTCACCGTCTAACATACCATGTTATGTGACCTTGGTCATTGTGTCTCTTCTCCCCAGAATGGTAGCCCAAGGGGGTGGGGATTTTTGTTTGTTTTCAGTAATCCCTAATACCTGAAATAGCACCTGGCATGCAGTGGGTGCTCAATAATAGTGCAAAATGAATGCGAGACCCCCAGGATGGCTTGGGGTTTCTCACTTCCTGCAGTGACACTGCCTGTGGCCTGGCCCCTCCTCCATCGTGCCCCTCGTGCCCCTCTGTAGGATGCTCCGGAAAGACAAGGAGGAGGCAGAGGCCATCAAACATGCCAAGGCCCTTGAGGAGGAGAAGGCCATGTACTCGGTGAGGGCTGGGCCGGGGTGGTAGGGCAGGTGTGTGCCTCATGGACGGCACACCCTCACCAGCCTCGTACCCACCCTGCTCCAGGGCCGTCGCTCCCGGCGCCAGCGGAGGGAGTTCCGGGAGAAGCGGCTAAGGGGCCGCAAGATCAGCCCACCCAGGTAGGACGGGTTCTGCCCCATGCCCCCACCCTGCCAGCACCAGTCTTTCAGGGCTCTGGGGGAGGAGCCGGGGCTCAGGAAGACCTTGGGGGCAAGCTCGCCACTTGCAGGCAATTCCCTCCTAGTAGGGCAGTGAGTAGGGAAAGTTTGGAGTAGGCGTGGCTGTGAGGGGCGTGTGGACACCTGCCCTGCCAGCCATTCCCCTCACCCTGCTGGACTCGGGACGCTTGCCGTGCTCCCTGAGAGCCAGTGGCGAGGTGGCATGGGGTGGCTGGAAGGGTTGAGAGCAGAGTCAAGGGGCACGGGCCTGGCCCCGGACTCTGACCTGGTTCTGCTGCTTGGCCGCTTCCTCACGGTCAGAGTTTGGGCAGGTGACTTTCTCTCTTGAGCTGCAGTTTCCTTTTTGGAAAAGGGGCACCATCACCTCCCAGGAGAGGGGCTATGCCAGTGCCCACAGCGAGGTCTCGGGCAGGTTTGGATGCGGCAGTCTGATGTGGAAAGCCCAGCCTGGGGCTCCAGGCAAACCCATGCTCTTTGACACATCTCGTGTGTTTAATGGGAGTCATTGAGGGTTGCTGTGAAGCTTAAGGGACCTGTTGTGGGTTCAGGGTTTGATGTGCGGTCTGGAAAATATTCCTTAAAGAGTTGTAGAGATGCAGGTCAGTGTAGTGCATAAAAGCTTGGACTTAGGGCCACATGGCCTGGGTTGGAATCCTGGCTCTTTTCGTTTATGAGCTGTGTGGCCCTGGGCAAGTGACTTCACCTCTCTGGGCCTGTTTCCTCAGCTGTGAAGTGTGAAGAATCACAGTACCCACGTCAGAGAGTTGTTAGGAAGAGCGATTGAGTTCACTGAGTAAAGCACCTGGTGCCTGGCGCATAGTGTGCCTCTAAGACGTGTTAGCTCTTCTAGTTTCAACATCATCATCAGTAGGAAGCCAGGACCCAGTAGAGCCAGGGACTTGGAGTGGGAGGAGTGTCGCTTCTAGTCTAGGGTCCGGAGGCCAGCCAGGTCGGAGGCTGCTGAAGTCCTTGTTGCTCAGGGTCAGGGTGGGTCTGGCACATTGTGGGTCAGGGCTGAGGTTCAGGCTTCGGACAGATGTGAGGTGAGTAGGAGGAGGGATCAGGGCCCGTAACCTGGCCAGCAGCCCCCTCATCACTGTGCCCAGCGTGTGGCCTTGGGCGCCCAGGTTGGGGGTTGGCCTTACTTCTGTGCACACTAATCCCAAACCCCCCCACCTGTCCCATCCCGTTCTTCTCTTCATAGCTACGCCCGCCGAGACAGCCCCACCTATGACCCCTATAAGCGGTGAGTTCGCAAGGCCCAGCAGTTCTCCTCATGGAGGGCAGGGGTGGTGAGGAGGGCCAGGGGGCCCACCCTGTAGGCTGCCCTGAGATCACAGACTGGAGAATGTGTTCTGGGAGTCTGAATCATTTTTTGTTTCCTAGAGTGTTAGCCTGCTTTCCTGATTTCTTTTTCCTTTAAACGTGAACCTTAAAAATTTGTTCTCATTTAGCTGTAACGTAGTCTTGTGTGGAAAATGACCAGACGTGGCAGGAAGGCAGGACTTAGAAGTCAAGTCCCTTTAATCTGAACTCCCGGAAATAAGCAGTGAGAGATAACAGGCACAGAAGAGCCTGGTTGCATACGCGTGTGTCTCCTGGTTGTGGGAGTGGTTGGGACAGAGGCTTTGAGGGTGACAGACCTTGGTCTGACCCCAGTTCCCTTTGCAGAATGGTGTGGGAGGGCCCCCTCGGGGCTCCTGGGAGGATAGGTGAGATGAGGCAGGTGCACCTTTTGATGAAAAGTCTGGCACAGTAAGTGCTCAATCCGTGGGCGCCATTAGGGATAAGGTATACTTTTTTTTCACAAAAATGGAATTAAATCACAGTTAATGCTTTAGAACTTGCTTTCCACCTGACCTGACATCTATGTTGAGGAAATCTTTTCCTGTTACATTACAGATGTGCTCATCCCTTTTTAATAGTACAGTTTGCTGTTCCTCCTTTTCCTGGTTGTTCTGAGAAGGTTTCCGTGGTCAGGAATCCGATCCTTGCACAGCTGGTGTCTTTCTGCCCATTGGCTCTGCTCGTTGCGCCGGTGGCTGCCGTTGCTCGGGGCTCTGCTGTTCTGATTTCTGTTGCTCTGTGGTGGCTTCTGTTAGCCAGTGGGCAGGCTCCAGGAGCCTGGCGTTCGAGCCCCCTGCTTCCTGCTCTGTAGGTCGCCCTCGGAATCCAGCTCCGAATCCCGCTCCCGCTCCCGCTCCCCGACCCCAGGCCGAGAGGAGAAGATCACGTTCATCACCAGTTTTGGGGGCAGCGATGAGGAGGCAGCCGCAGCCGCAGCTGCAGCAGCTGCGTCAGGGGCCGCCACAGGGAAGCCTCCCGCGCCCCCCCAGCCAGGCGGCCCCGCACCGGGACGTAATGCCAGCGCCCGGTCGGTAACGCTCACGCTGCCTGCCCTACACCCCGGCCGCCGTGGGGGGGACTCGGGACGGCGGTGGGCCACGGCCCGGGCCGGCGCTGACCCGCCCTCCGTGCCCCACCTGCAGCCGCCGCTCCTCCACCACCTCCTCCTCCTCTTCCGCCTCGAGGACCTCCAGTTCCCGCTCCCGTTCCAGCTCCAGCTCCCGCTCCCGCCGCGGCGGGGGCTCCTACCGCTCTGGCCGCCACGCACGCTCCCGCTCCCGGTCCTGGTCACGCTCCCGCTCCCGCTCTCGGCGCTACTCGAGATCCCGCAGCCGTGGCCGGCGGCACTCAGGTGGGGGCTCTCGAGACGGACACCGCTACTCCCGTTCGCCTGCCCGGCGTGGCGGTTACGGGCCCCGGCGCAGAAGCAGGTGCGTGGGGCTGGGTTGTGGGGACTGGGCTGGGCGTGGGCCCCATTTCAGCGAGACCAGGCTCTGGGAGGGGAGACCTGGGATTGGTGCAGGGGGGAATGTGCTCACTCCAGGTGTGGTGCCGGGGCTGGAGCACAGCCTCCCTTCTCAGGGATGCAGTGGGGAGGGAGACTGAGCTGTGCTTGTCACGGGAAGTCCCCAGGTGTTTGCAGCTGGCGACCCTTAGGACTGGGGCACTCCGTGGGCAGGGGCCGGAGAGTCAAGGCAGCCCTTTGAGAGAAGGCGGGGCGTGAGACAAGCGCTGCACATGGGGCAGGAGGAAAGTGACCTAGGGACGGGAGCATCCCTCCGGTCCTATTCCCGGAGGGGGCCTGGTGGATGAGAGCATGGACTGCGGAGACCCTGGCTGGGTATGGATTCTGGCCCTGCTAGTGAACTCTCGGGGCCTGTTTCTGCATCTGTAAAAAGAGATACAGTCACGGTGTCCCCTTTATTGGGTCATGAAGTTGTGACAAGTGAATTCTATGTAAGTGTTCAGTACAGGGCCTGGCACTCGGTGAGTGCTTTTATTGTCATCAGCATCATTACCCGTGTTATTGTTGTGTGGATCTCAACGTCAGCTACCTACAAGGTCTAGCAGGTAAAATAGAGGGGCCGCGTGGGCCCCGGTGAACCGGGAGCATACGTCCCATCTGCTGGGCTCGTTGGCCACTCAGTGGCAGGCGTGGTGTTGCTCAGTCTTCTGGTTTTTCAAGAGAAGTTGGGTTGGATTTTTAAAGGACAGCTCTTGTTTTCTCAATATTGCCAACAAATTTGAATTTTGTAAAAACCCAGGACAGTCCCACCAGAATCAGTGTGTGGCGTTGGTTTGGCTTCTGGGTCGTTCCCTGGAGCCTGACACAGGGCAGTGTCAGGAGAAAGACTGGGGTCGGAGGGGGACCCTGGTCACATCTCTGAGGCCAGCCTGAGGGTCCTGAGCAGAGAGAGGGTGGGGCTTGCACGTCCCCAGACTGGATCCTGTGGGTCTGTGCTGCAGTCTTGCACGGGGGCGGGGGGGTCATCCCCACTAGTGGCGAGACCCTGGACCTGGCAAGGTGAGGAGGCCGTGAGCATACAAGGGGGGGCCGCCAGCCAAGTTCTGCCCCCCCAGAAGTCACCTCTCAGAGAAGTGGGTGAATGGGTGTCTAGTGAGAATTGAAGAGCCGTCTTAGGGCCGGTGTATCTAGAGGGCGGTCTCTGTTTAGAGACTGAGGGAGGCCAGGGAGGATTTCTGAGGAAAGTAGCGGGAGAGGAGTGGAGACACAAGGACCCCAGGGCCTCGGAGGAGGCTCGTAGATTCAGTGCCTGGGTGGGGCATTGCGCACCTGGGGTCCCTGGAGCCTCACGGCCTCTCTCCTGCCTCACCGCACCCCCAGGAGCCGCTCCCGCTCAGGGGACCGGTACAGGCGGGGCGGCCGGGGGCCCCGGCACCACAGCAGTAGCCGCAGCCGCAGCAGCTGGTCCCTCAGCCCGTCCCGAAGTCGCAGCCTGACTCGCAGCCGCAGCCCCAGCCAGAGCCGCAGCCCCAGCCAGAGCCACAGCCGCAGCCGCAGCCGCAGTCGCAGTCACTCGCCGTCGCCCCCAAGGGAGAAGCTGGGCAGGCCGGCAGCGTCCCCCGCTGTGGGCGAGAAGCTGAAAAAGTGAGTGGGGCAGGGCTGGGGGAAGGGGATTGTGAGCTCGGGTGAGGAGGTGACTCCACTGTGCTCTTTTTGAAGGAACTTGGTCCTGTCTTGAGAGGTCTGAGGGGGCCACAGCTCTGCCCTTAGGGGCTCTGAGGAGTCACGCCCTTGCCTTGGGTCGGGGGTCAGAGGGGGACATGGCCCTGTCCTGCAGGGTCCGGGAGGGACCTGGTTTCTCCCTGGGGGGTGTTAAGGGCCCATGACCTTGGCTGTCTGCTCTGAGGGCAGTGCTGAGGGCGCGTGAGGTCGAAGGTGGCAGCTGGTTTTCTTTCCTCCCAGGACCGAACCTGCCGCTGGTAAAGAGACAGGAGCTGCCAAAGTCAGTAAGAATTTGGAACTCGCCCGTGTAATTCCCGCCAGCAGCAGTGCCCGAGAGCTGGGCCCGGTGGGCCTGCAGGGGGGCCCGGGTGGGCCGGGAGATCCAGCCCCGGGGATTGAGATCTGTGCCTCCCTTCCCTCCTCAACTGTCCACTGGGGCTCCCAGACCCTCGTGGCCAGTCTCCACAGCCTGCCCGTCCTCCACACATGCCCCCGCAAGTCCCAGGCTCTTGGATGAGGTGGGTTGTGGAAGCTCCGGGACACCCACCCGGTCTCCTGCCTCTTCTCCCCCTCCCCAGCCCAAGCTGACGCCACAGGAGAAGCTGAAGCTGAGGATGCAGAAGGCACTGAACAGGCAGTGTATGTCCCGCCACCTGCCCCTCCAGGGCTCCCCTGCCCCTCCTCCTTCTGGCCTGGCCGTGGGGAGGCCCTGCCCTTTGCCAGATAGGAGGCCCTTTGGGGAGGAGTGGGTGTGCACCTGCCCCACGGCCACCACGTTTAGGGCCTTGGCAGTCTGGTTGGCCTCTCTGAGCTCAGCTTCCACATCTTGGGGGCGGGGCTTGAGGGCACCCCTCATCACTGTGTCTCTCCCTCCCCACAGTCAAGGCGGATAAGAAGGCGGCTCAGGAGAAGATGATCCAGCAGGAGCATGAGCGCCAGGTACGGGTTGGGGTGAGGGCATAGGGCTCACACAGGGTGCCGGCCCGGCCCCGCCCTCGCTGCCATCCTGCCATCCTGCCATCTCTGCCGTAGGAGCGGGAAGACGAGCTTCGAGCCATGGCCCGCAAGATCCGTATGAAGTAAGACTCCTTCCCTCCCACCTGCCTCTGGGTTGCCCTGTGTTCCCCACCACCTGCTCCGATCCAGAGCCCTGGCCGATCCCTCTGGGTGGATGAAAATAATCAAAGCCCTCGCCTGGCCTTCATGTTGTCCCCCAGTCTCCTTCCCATCCCCAGCTTACTTCGGCCACTGTGACCTCCTCCCAGCTCCGCCACCCTCCAGCTTGGGTTACCTTTCCTGCTGTTCCCAAGATACCCACCCACTTCCCTCCCTTGCTGAACTCAGGGGTCCTTCCTGACCATCCTTTGTGGAGTAGCACCCCAAAACACGACATCCTCCAGCCCCACTCTGCTTTTCTTCATAGCACTAATCTGCACCTGGCATCCCAGTGTGCACTGTCTGTGTCCTTCACTCATTCTTGTTCGTGTCCCCATTAAGAAGTCGGGTGTGGCTGCTGGGTTCCTGCTGTGTGCTTTGCCCCTAGAACACTGGTGTTCGATAAACGTTTGCCGAACGGAACGGCTGAATGCAAGCCAGCCCCGCGCTGGGAGCCAGGGCCTCTCCCCTCTCCCATTCTGCTCCAGTTCTCACCTTGACTCTTCCCCTGCAGAGCTGAGTGGCTCAGAGCCTGGGTCAGGCAGACTCAGGGTTCATTCCCAGCTCCGCCTCTCTGACTGTGTGGCCCTGGGGTGGGCACTGGCCCAGAGTCTGAACAGACCTTGGTGCCAACTGCACAGGGTAACTCAGGGATTAGTGTCCGTAAAGCCTCAGCCCACCCAGTACCCATGGGCAGAACTGGAGGCCGTAGCGCTTGGTGTTAGCAAAGAGGAGAGTTGGTCAGTCGCAGGGTCGGGTCACCTGTTGTTTCTGGTTCTACCCTGCGCTTGCTGTGGGTCCTTGGACAAGCACTTTAAGCTCTCTACGCCAGGACTCACTGTATGAGATAGATGTGATAAGGCAGCCACCTTCATGGGGTTCTCCCGTTAAGGCACCTGGTGTGTGGTTCCTGGCACGTGGGGAGGCTTGATGGTTGGAGCTGCTGCTGTTAGTTGTTTATTACAGGCACATCATGTGCTGGGCTTCCAGGGCTGCCATGTGCTCCCATCGGGGGTGGAGGAGCAGAGTGCCTAGGGACTCAGCGTTGTAGTCAGTCGGACCTGGGTTCTGATCCTGCCTCTGCTACCCACCAGCTGTGCGCCTTCCTCCTGTCTGAGCCTTCGGCCTATAGATAAGCCTAAGTTTGCTTATCTACCGAATGCGGATGGAATAGTTGTCCCAGCTCTTAGGCTGGTGGAGAGGATTCCGTGAGATCAGAGCCAGGCACGAAGGCACCCAGTAAATGTAGCCCTTGGGGTTGCAAATCCTGGTCCTTCTGACAAAGACCAGTTAAGCACTTAGCATGTAAGTCCCTTTGTTCTGAGGCTGTGCCCTGAGTGTGACAGGAAATTATCGAACTCTCCAGCCCTTCAGCAAGCCTTTCATCGCCAGGCAGACTGGGATTCAGATGCTGGCTCTGCCAGCCAGTAAGTATCCCCTCTCCGAGTTCAGTGCCCTCATTTCCAAGTGAGGAGAGGAGCAGGACATGCCCCCTTGGCTTATTCTTCCACCTGGACTAGGTTGTCGGCAGCACCTGCCCTGACAGGGACCCAGCCAGCCATCGAGTTCAGTTCAGTGTTATCGCCAGCCGAATGCCCACCCCTTCCCCTGGTTTGCCTCCCCTTCCCCGTGCAGGGAACGGGAACGCCGCGAGAAGGAGAGAGAAGAATGGGAACGCCAGTACAGCCGGCAGAGCCGCTCGCCCTCCCCCCGTTACAGTGAGTGTCCGCGTGGTCGCTTGGTCTGGAGAGCCGGGCTGGAGGCTCTGTGGCATTAAAAAAAAAGAAGAGATGTCAAACTGGGTTACAAAAAAAACATGGTAGGGCTTCCCTGGTGGCGCAGTGGTTGAGAGTCCGCCTGCCGATGCAGGGGACACGGGTTCGTGCCCCGGTCCGGGAGGATCCCACATGCCGCGGAGCGGCTGGGCCCGTGAGCCATGGCCGCTGAGCCTGCGCGTCCGGAGCCTGTGGTCCGCAACGGGAGAGACTACAACAGTGAGAGGCCCGCATACCACAAAAAAAAACCCAAAAAACAAAAACAAAAAAACCATGGTACATTTTTTTCCACATCAGCCTTCTATAAATTAAAACTTTTAAGTCACACACACAACACACGGTGATTGCTTTAGTCACAAGGGACTTACAGGAATTGGAAGAAAAGCTCATTCTTAGCGCGTGGGTGTGGGCCAAGGGGCACAGGTAGCGTCCAGCAGCGGACACGCCGGAAGCGCCGGCGCTGCCTTAGCTGGAGACACTGGAAGCCCAGCCCTGGAGCCCACTCCTGGTCCTGGGCACTTACTTTGTTTTCACCCATCCTTTCTTTCCAGGTCGAGAATACAGCTCTTCCCGAAGGTAATAAGCAGGCTGGCCCAGCTCCCTGGGAAATCACAGTTGCCCTTTGGCACGAGGTCCCAGCCCTGATTGCTCCATCCCGACGCAGCCCCCTCCAATCCCCTCCAGTCATAGGGCCTGGCCTCACCCCTCGGGAACATCCCTCTCTGCAGCTGAATTCCCCATCACTGAAGCCCCAGTGGTCCCAAGCATGTCAGTGTATGTGTGCACGTGCCTACACAGCAGGGCTCCCTGCTTGCTGCCCAGCCCTCACGGGGCCTCTCTCTCCCCTCTCTCTCTCCAGGCGCTCAAGGTCCAGATCCCGAAGCCCCCATTACCGACATTAGGCAGAAGCGTGGCGGGGCAGAGGGATGAGGGGGTGGGGCGAGGGCTCAAGCTGTGATGCTGCTGGTTTTATCTCTAATGGAATAAAATCACACATTATTTAATTCTCTTCACCTGGCCTCCGTGTCGTCCGTGTGGTTGGTGCAGGGCTCCCAAACCCCAGTGCCCGCCAGCCAAGGCCAGCTGAGGAAGGAGCTTGGTGGGTTCAGCTGTGGCCCAGGTGGAGGTCCCACCCACGTCTGGGCATTGGACCGGAGGCTCCTTGGTAATCAGAACTCCTGCCACTCTCAGTGAGGGCAGGGGTGCGACGCGGTGGGAACGATGGGCCAGGAATCTGCCCAGGGGCCTGTGGTGACAGGTCCAGGCCTCTCCCAGCTCTTGCCTCGGCCCCTGCCCTGGCCTCACCCACACCCACGTTGGGAACCGGGAGCACAGCTTTCAGTGCCAGTCCTGCTGTGCCCCAGGCACTGGGTGCTGGCCTTTCCCCTCACCCCCTCGTTCCAAACCGGTCTGTCCAGCTGTCCACCCCAAGGAGTGAAGCCTCCCGCCCCACCTCAGACACCCCAAGAAAGCCAGAGTCCAAACGCGTGTGTAACTGTGGGGAGGGAGGATTTACTTGCAGGGGAAGGACAGGGAGGTCACAGAAGCGGTTCACGGCGGTGCGGGGGACCGCAGGGGGCATTCCCGCGGCTCAGGCATCCCCAACCACGTCGGGGTGCTTCTGCCGCAGATGCTTGTCCAGGGTGGCCCGCAGGCCGAAGGGCACGCAGCAGTGGGGGCACTTGAAGCGGGGCCCGCCAGGCCCCAGGCCGTGCATGCGGCGGTGGCGGTTGAGTTTGCTGCTCTGGGCGCAGGCGTAGGAGCAGAGCTCGCAGGCGTAGGGCCGCTCGCCCGTGTGCGAGCGCCGGTGCACCGTCAGGTTGCTGCTGTTGGTGAAATGCTTCCCGCAGAACTCGCAGCTGCCCCCGGGCCCGGGGCCCCGGCTCTTGCCCGCTGGCTTCAGCGTCTTCTTGGGTGACGTCTTCTGGTTCTTCTCGGGGTCAGTTCTCTGCTCCTTGGTGTCAGCTCCCCAGCCGTCCACGCCGGGGCCCACCTGGGCCCCACCGCCAGGAGCCCCAGGTTCCTGGACCCCCGCCGTGGCGGCTGCTCCGGCCCCCTCTCCGCCGCTGCACTGGAGGATGCTGGCCGGGGCGGCGGCATGGGCGGCCGGCTCCGGAGGGGCAGCGGAGGCCTGCTCCCGACTGGCATCGGCCACGCAGGGGCTCTGGGGCTGTAGCTGCTGCCGATGGGTCTTCTTGTGGCGGTTGAGCTTGCTGCTCTGGGCGCAGGCATAGGGACACTGGTCACAGGCGTAGGGCCGCTCGCCAGTGTGCGAGCGCATGTGCACCTTCAGGTTGCTGAAGGAGCTGAGGGTCTTCTTGCACACGGGGCAGGTGGGGCTCCGTCGGGTGGAACCCAGCCGGGGGCCCTTGGCCTCGGCTTCTGGCCCCGCCACCGCCGACACGGCAGCAGCCACCTCGGCCAGGCCCAGCAGCGGGGCCTCTGGGGCCTCGGGTTCCGTCTGGTAGATGGACAGTCCGTGGTCCCACTGGGCGTGGCGCAGCAGTTTCCAGGCTCCTGTGAACTGTCGGCCGCAGCGGAGGCAGCTCAAGGCCTTCAGGTCCTCGCGTTCTGCAGAGAAGAGAAGGGCCAGGGGTTAGTGTGTCAGGCAAGTCAGAGCAGTTGCTGTTCACAGCTGCCGGCTGGACACCTGCTGGGGGAGAGGCTCTATTTCAGGAGCTGAGAGGCAGCAGTAAGAGGCGAGACTCCCTGCCCTCAGGAAGCTGGTGTTCAGAGAGGTGAGTGGACAGACAAGAAGCAAGGAAAATCCGTGCAGTGGATGATAAGTACTTGGGGATTTTCTTTGTGTTTGAAAAATCTTCAAGAAAAACTTAAAAGTTAGAGCAGAGGGCTTCCCAGGTGGCGCAGTGGTTGCGAGTTCGCCTGCCAATGCAGGGGACACGGGTTCGTGCCCAGGTCCGGGAAGATCCCACATGCCGCAGAGCGGCTGCGCCCGTGAGCCATGGCCGCTGAGCGTGCACGTCCGGAGCCTGTGCTCCACAACGGGAGAGACCACAACAGTGAGAGGCCCGCGTACCGCAAAAAAAAAAAGAAAAAAACAAGTTAGAGCAGAGTGATGGATGGGGGGGTGTTATTTTATTACTGGGGTTAGGAAGGCCTTGCTAAGCAGGTGATCCAGTTCAGTGCGCTAGGCACCTGCCACCTGGCACGCTCAGCTCCCTCTCACAACTTTCCTTCGAGGCAGGAAATAAGACCTCCGTTTTCCAGACGGGAAAACTGAGGCAAAGAGACCTTTCCCCAAGGTCACACAGCTAGGAATGGGTGGAGCTGGGGTTTCAATCCAGAAACCCAGGGGGTGGGAGATAGAGGTTTTCAAGAAAAAAGATTGGTTTAATAATCAAAACAGCTCTTGATAACTGAGTGGGTTTCTGTGCCAGGCCCCAGGCTCCTGGGTCCCACGCATGATCCCCTTTTCCTGCCTTACAGAAGAGGGAGCCAAGGTCTAAATGGGGAGAAGGCTTAGCAGCCACCTAGCGAGGTAGGGGTGTGGACGGTGAGCTAGGTTCCCCTCCCTCTTTATGGAACCCAAATTGAGAGTCCTCCAGATCGAGACACCCCAGGTACTGTCAGTAAGGTACTGCCAGATCTATTTGCCTTTATGTCTTGGATGGGGGTGGCTTTCCTGATGCAACACCAGGGTCAAGAGCATGGGTGGGGTTGGAGAGGGCCAGCCTGGCCTGACTTCCAGCTGGCTCTCCTGCTCCCTAGCTGTGTGACCTTGGGCAAGAAATACCCCTCTCGGAGCCTCAGTTTCCTCATTTGCTAGAATATGGGGATCTAGGGGTCTTCTCCCTTTAGACTTGCTGTGAGCTCAGAACCAGCTGAGAGCTGTGATCCATCAGGCCCTCAGTAAACATTAGCTGAGGTGTCCACAATTCTCCCAAGTCCAAGCACCTAAGAGTGTATTGTTCTAATGATCCCATCACAGCCCCTCCTTTGCCCACCAGGCCCTAACTCTACAGCTGAGCCAATCATAATTCCTCCTCCCCCCCTCCCACCACAGGACCCTCTCCCTGGCCCGGCCCTGAATATAATTCCATTTCTCACAAATCCCCAGGAGCACATGGCCCAGAGACTGGCAATCTAGAGCTGTGGATGAGCCCCATCATCAACGCTGACCAAAAGCTCAGCTCGCCAAGAGTCTAGTACCAAGTTAAGAGTTTTAATTCCTACCCGAGGGGAGGAACCCAGGTATCCAGACACCCAGGACCTGGCTCAAAACAGGGCCTTCCCAGCATGCAAGGCTGGGAGATTCCATCAGGGAGGGAAACCAGAAGTCCCTTCCCTGGCTCTGAGCAAATGCCCAGCACCTCAATCAGAAGTGATAAAGAGGGGGAGGGGGTGACAACACCCCCCGGTCCAGCTGGCCTCAGCTCCCCTCCCCCAGGCTGCTGCCCTCCCCAGAGGTGCCCCCTGCTGCCACACTGGTCCAGCCACCTGGCCAGTTATTTCTGGCCAAGGGGAAGGAGAAGTGAAACCAGATTGGGGGTGTGTGTATGGCAAATCCCCAGACCAGTCTTCTGGGGCTGGCCACACCCTGTGGGTGGCCCTGCTTCCCTGCCCAGCCCCCATCCTCACCCACCCCCCTCACCACCACTAGTCTCAGCCCTAGGACAGGGCAGGCTCTGGCCACGCCTAGGCTGCACCCAGTGGGGAGCCAGAAAGGGGAAGTAGTGCTCACTGCCCCGCCTGTCCAGGTCAGCCCCTTCTCCCACAGGAAGCTGGGCCCTTGAACTTGAGACCAGGGACTGCATTCCGGCTTTACTCACCTGAGCTCTGGCAGGGGCTGGGGCCTCTGAAGAGCTGACAGCCCAGCTTCTTGTGGTCCATGAAAGCAGTGATGGCCTCCAACGGGAAAGTCTGCAGGCAGCGGCCGCAGGTCAACAGATCTGGGTGTTTGTCGGTCCACGGCTGGCGGTCTGCAGGGAGGAAGCGGGTGGTGAGCGTGGGGTGGGGCCAGGATGGGGCCTGGGGGTTCCGAGGGAGAGGGGAAACCCGAAGGTCAAAAGGGGAGCTGGAGGCCAGGACCTGGCGAGGAAAATAAGGCAGGGGGGTTAGTGCGGGTGGGGGGATGCGGGGGGCGGTGCCCCGAGAAGGAGGTCCCACGAGAGAGAGAGAGAGAGAGAGAGAGAGAGAGAGAGAGAGAGAGAGAGGAGAGAGGAGAGAGAGGGGAGGGAGGCGGGCGGGCCCGGGGCAGGGGCAGGGGGCGCTCACCGGGAAGGTGCGGGGTCAGCGGCGTCCACGGCGCCCACTGGTTGCGCAGGCCCAGGGCGTGGAAGAGGCCGCCAGCGGGCACGGGGCCGGGGGAGTGGCGGGGTTCGCCCTCGAACCGCCCCGGCGCGGGCATTTCCTTCGGGTTGAAGGGCCCTAGCCGCCGGGCCTGTAGGGGCCGCGGGTCCGGCTCGAGCTTCACATCGATGAAGAGGTCCGGCATCTCCATCTCGTCGTCTGAGTTGGCGGCGGGAGCGGGCTCTCTTCGGCGAGGCATGCAGCCGGCCTTGCGGCGGGACATGGGTCACGGGCAGGCGGACTGGCGGGCGGAGGACTCGCGAGCCGTGCGCGCTCACACCGAGGCGCCCAGGTGAGTGACTGCGGCGACCCGCGGCGAACTCTTACACGTGCTGGCCCGGCCCGTGGCTCCGCCCACCGAGGCGGGGCCTGACGCGAGAGGACTGCCCCACCCTCAGCCAAACTTAATCTGGACCATGCCCCCTGCGTTTCTCTAAGTGATCAAATCTTAACCATAACGAGTTCACACAACCACGCATAGAAACAGCTATTCCTGATCCCGTTTTCGGGCTGGTGGAAACTGAGGCACAAGGTGCCCACACACACCCCCAAGCGAGAAAGTGGTAGGGGCCACGTTTCTACCTGGGCGCCTGATAGTAATCTGGTCTGTTCCATTAAACGCATTACAATAAAAGTTCCCTGGGCAAACATTGATTGAGCGTCTACTATGCACCAGGTTCTGGACCAAGTACTGGGGATGCAGCAGGGTACAAAACACGATAACCCTGGCCTCATGCAGTTTATTCGTTCAGGGAGACAGGACTCTCAACAAGATAACTATGTAAAATACAGAGTGCCTTCCGTGACACCTGTCATGGAGAAAAAAAGAAAAAATCCAGGAAGGATTATAAAGGGACAGGATTACTGGGGTGACGGGTGGGCCTCAATTTTCTCCCCATGCCGGGCCTGCGTATTCTAGGAGTTCTGTAGTGATTAAGTTCTGTATTGATTGAGTTCTGTGAGAAAACGAGGTCAGCTTCAAGGGCGTCTTTTGACCACTTTAAAGTCTTTGGCTTTTCTGAGATGGAAGCCCTGGGAAGGTTTTGAGCAGAGGAGGGTCGTGATCATATACATTGACTCTGCTCTTAGACCTGAGATCGTCTTTAAAACCAAATAGCCAACCGTCTTGCCTCCCTCGGATGGGGCCTCCTCGAACTTCCCTCCTCAAGGCTGCTCTCTCTGATCACTGTTTGAAGTGGTATCAACACCCTGCCCCACCCTTCAACCCTGCAAGTTTTCTTTTCTTCCTGGCACCAACCACATCAGATCTACAACTGTTTGTTTACTGTCCTCTCACCCCTTCCCCCAACACAAGCCCCCTGAGGTCAGGGCCAGGGTCAGTCCGCCCCTGCCGTGTCCCCAAGCCCAGCACTGAGGGAATTTCACATGCTAATCTCCACTGCAGGCCTGAGGGTTCCTCATATTGTTATTCAGGTCTCAGCTCAATTGTCCTCCTGAGAGCAGAGGACCTCCCTGACCACAGGATCTAAAGGAGCCCCACCCTGCTGAAGGCCTTACAATTTACACTCCATGACCTCCATCTGTCCCCAGTTCCCTCCTGGGCCTCAGGTTTCCCATCTGTTACCTAAGGTGGCTTCCTCAGTGCCACCTACCCTGACCACCCAACCTCCCTCAACCCTGCCACCCATTACCCCATTGCCCTTATTTTATTCCTTTTACATCCTTGTCAAGCCCTGAAGGATCTTGTCGATGTATTTGTTCATGTAATAAGCTGTGGTGTCCCTCTCAGCCTCCCTAGAATGTAGGTTCTGAGATGGCAGGAGCGGAGTCTGTCTTGTTCACAAATAGAGCCCCTAATCGTTCATAGTTCAGTTAACAAATTGTGTACTGAGCTCCTGCTATGTGCATTCTTTCAATAGATATTTGCAGAGGGTCTGCGTACCAGGCACCGGGTCTTGGGGGTCCCCTGGGAAGCCAAGGCCCACAAGGCCCTGCCTTACTGAAACCGTGTGGAAGAAGTGAATTCTGAGCCCACAGCAGCGCGTTTCCACCTCAGGCCATACATTTTGCCTTTCAGGACCTCAGTTTCCCCCTGTGTAAGATGGGGCTGCGGGGAGGGCTGCAGGAATGACCGCCTCTGGTCTCTCCCAGCTGCTGCTCTCCAAGGCTTTTTGCGTGGCTGCTGAGAGCATGATCAAGTAGGGAAGGTGGGGTTCGGACTGGAGGTGAGGGGTAGGAGTGTGCACGTGTAGGGGGATGGGGGTGCCAAGTCCAATCTGCACTTAACTCAGACGGGAGGCGCCTCAATTTCTTCTTCTGTAAAATGGGTATCCTGGACGTCCCCACCTCGCAGACTGGTGGATCAGCTCTAAGCGCTGGGCCAAGCCGCTGGCAGGATGGCGCCCGGGTCTGTGCTGGCTTCCGAGCCCGCGAGCCCGCCCGAGACCACGTGGGGCGTTGGCGGCGCGGGCGGAACCCAGGCTCGGCGGCTCGCGGCCCGCCCGGGCCTCTGCAGCTGGGGCGCCGGCGGAAGTGGGGGCTCCAGCCGCTGCAGACCTCGGTGAGTGTGGGATTGTTGCTGGTGGGTTGCGAGCACTTTCCCGTTCCCCGGCACCGGCCCGGGACGCCCACCCGCGTGCAAGACCGGGAGTGGCGGCAAGAGTCAAGTCCGCGCCTGCAACGCCGGCTGCTGGGACGTTCTGGTCCCCGAACGCCTGCACCCGGGACTCTGGTTCCGAACGCAGCAGCGCACACACTCCCGCGCCCGGGGTGGAGGTGGGGGCGGAATGCACCCCCTCGGGAAAACAATAACGACGACGATATTATAACAGTAATAACGGCTGCAGTCTTGAGACTCCCGCCTTTCCCGGAGTGGAATCGCTCGCCTAATCTGAGCCGGGAGGTGGGAAGAACGTCTAGCCCAGGGCGGAGTGGGGAGTGGACGCCTGAGGGCCGGGAGGACCTACTTAGTGTAAGAAAAGGAGAGCGATGCATGGCCAGAGCGGAATTGAAAGGAAACTGACCGGCCCAGTGGGCGGAGGTTGAGGGGTGGGATTCTGCATTTGGGGTCCCGATCCTCACTGGGTGTGTGTGAGTGTATGTGTGTGTGTGGCCCATTTAACTAATTTGCATCCAGACAGGGCCCACCCATGAGGTGGGTGTAGGCTGGTCAGTATCTCGGTTAAGCTGGTAACTCAGCTGGTTCTCCACCTGGCAACTGAAGGGTTAGTTTGTCCACGGAACACATCGTTCCCATTTTCTAGAAAGTGAGTACTGAGGCCCCAGGGATGGAAGTCTGTGAATCTCCTGGCCCTGCCATTGACCAAAGCGATGGGCACTTTAGTTTTTCTAGTGGGAAAGGGGTTTGGACATTTTTTCCTGAAACCTGGGCAGGAAATCCTTGGCTTGGAGACTGACAGGATAAAGGACTCTCAGGCTTGGTCACCAGGGAGAATGGATAATACCTGCTTTTGCTGTCTTGGGCCCACCGTATGTGACCTTTCTCAAACCAGTTTCTTATCAGGTCACACCTTGACTCCCAAACCTCCAAGGACTCCCCTATGCTGGCTGAAAAAAACTGCCCTGCTCCCAGGGCAGGGGTGATGGCCCTGACTCTGTTATCAGACCAGCCTGGATTTGCTCCCTTTTCCTGCCAATCGCAAGCCTGCACCCAGTCAATGATTTGGCATCGTCCAGCTTCAGTTTCCTCTTCGGGAAAATGGGGCTTGTGCAGGTATGACCAAATCTTTTTTTTTTCCTCCCTAATGGAGAAAACATGACTAACATGTTTAATTAGTCATGTAATTAAACACGTTTAATCCAAAGAACATAATTCTTTGGCCACTTGCATAATTCCCATCGGTCCTTCATTAAGTACTAGCCCTAGAGAGGAGAGTGTTTCTCCTAAAATACTTAAGTGTTAACCTAGGTTGGGAGAAAAAGCCCTGGGAGCTGATGACCCTTGACTAAACTGGGAATGCAGTGGTCAGATACATTAGAAAATGTATATATCCCTTAATCTCATTCACAGCCAGTAATGGTGAGATAATGAAAATGTACCAATCCCATTAATTCCATTCACTGTGGTCTTGCCCATCAGGCAAAAACCAGGGAGTCTTCCTCGGCTTTGCTCAGTCCATTAGCAAATAGTGAGGGCTCTCAACCCTCAAAAGATAGCCTAATCCAATCACTTCTCCTCACCCCACCCCCCCACCCCCAACCCCCCAACCCCCATCCCAGACACCTGTCATCTTCCACACCACCCACTGCAGTGGCTTCCTCACCAGGCTGTCTGCTTCTCCCTTTGCTCTCACAGTCCATTCTTCCTTGCAGCAGGCAGAGGGATCCCGTGATTACCACCAGTCAGACCCTGCCCCTCCTCTGCTCAGAACCAGCCCCTGGCGAGACCCCAGTCCTCAAGCCCCTGCACATTCTGCCCTTGCCCCAGCCCCCTGCATACTGGCCTCCTTGCTGTGCCTCAGTCTCCCTTCCATGGGCTTTGCATTTGCTGCTCCCTCGAACTGCAATGCTTTCCCCCCAGATCTCCACATGGCTGAATTCCTCATTTCATTCTGGTCTTTGCTTCAAAGTAACCTTATCAGAGAGATCTTTCCTGAGCCCCTTCCTGAAAACCACCTCTTATCCCCCAGGCAGGGCCAGGTGTCTGCTCTGGGCTCCTGAGGCCCCCGGGCTCCTTCATTCCAGCCCTGCCCACTCTGGGTTGTCATTGTGTGGAGACCTAGTGTGTGTCATCCACTGGACTGTGAGCCCAGGAGGGCAGGGCTGGGCTCTTTCACTCCCAGCTGTGTCTCTAGCACCACCCAGCATGGGCCAGGCACAGAGCAGGCACTCAGATAACAGGGGGAGTGAACCCTTCCACAAAGATTTACTGAGTCCCCCCTGGTTGCCAGGCCCTAATTAGGGCTGGGGATGGAGCTGTGACGTAATCAGGTATATCCCTTCTCTCGAAGGCTTATGTCCTGTGGCAGAACAGACAGCGCACAGGCAAACAAGTAAATGCATATTGTCAGGAGGTGATAGTGCTGTGGGAAAAAAAAGACACTGCAGGGTGAAAGGGCTATTATTTTCCTCCCTGTAAAGATGATGTTTGAGCAGCGAGCTGAATGAAGTAAGGGAGGAAGGTGAGTCATGTATCTGGAAATATATATATGTCTCCCAAATGGAAGAGGGTTCCAGGCAGTAAGAACAGCACATGCAAAGGCCCTGAGGCAGGAATGTGCTTGGCATTTTCAGGGACTGACACTGGTGACCAAAGGGTAGAAGGGTGGGAGATGAGGCCAGAGAGGTGATAGAGCCTTGTAGCCATCGTGAGGACTTTTGCTTTTGCGCTGGGTGGGATAGGAGCCATGGGAGGCCTCTGGGCAGCGGAGGGGTGTGATCAGACTTAGTTCTGACGGGAGGATCCCTCTGACAGCCATGTGGGGAACAGACTGGGGTGAAGGTGGAGGCCAGGAGCCCAGTGGGGAGGCTACTGAAATAGTCCAGGTGGGAGGTGATGGTGGCTAGACCGAGGAAGGGTCAGAGTAGGGATGGTGAGAAGTTCCCAGATGCTGGATGCATTTTTGAGGGTGGAGCTGACAAACTTGACTGAAGGACTGGGTGTGGGTGGGAGAGAAAGTGAGGAGCCCAGGATACTGCAGATGTCCTTTGCCTGTGTGATCGGCAACCTCCCCCTGAAAGATCTTCCCGACAGCCCTAGGAGGTCTTTTTTTAACGTTTCATTTCACGGATGAGGAACCGGATCAGGGAGGCTGCTCCCAGAGTTGCAGGGATCTGCCCAGACCCCTTGTAGTGAATCTGGGAGGGCTGGGACCCACCCGCTCTCCCCCAGACCACACCCTCATCCCCTATGCCAGGTGGTGAGCTGTGGCCTGCCGCAGGTTCTCATATGGCTCAAGAGCTGAGAGTGGGTTTTGCATTTTTAAGTGGTTGAAAAACTAACAAAATCTTTTGTGGCGCATGAAAGTATATAAAATGCGGTATCAGTGTCCCAAGAAGTAAGGTTTGATTGGAGCACCGCCACGTTTCCACGTGCTGCCGTATTGTCTGGCCACTCTCCTCCTACCCTGGCAGGGTTGAGTAGTTGTGACAGAGACAGAGACAGGCCCTTGAAGCCTAAAATATTTACCATTGCGCCCTTGACAAAGGAGATTTGCTGACCTTTGCTATATGTTCTGCTAATAAGATTTGGGCCAGCAGCGGGGGTGTCCTATCAGGAGGACTTGGAAAGATCCAGGTGAGGGACAGAAAGAGGTTTGGGGAGTGCGTGACAGTAAGGCTAGGAGAGGGAGTTCAGATTCCTGAGGGAGGATCTAACATTTTTTAAGGGACGTGGAAGCATTCCGATATGTCCCTTCCTTTTTAAAAACTAGAATTTCAAAATTCTTTTGAAAAGGTTATACAGATTCAAAATGGATCCAAATTCAAACAGAATTTAAAAGGTAAAGAAAGGTAGACAGCTAAAAGTCTCCACCCCGGGCCCTGCATGGGCTGAATGACCCATGTGCGTTTGCAGTTTTTTTGTTTGGTTGGTTGGTTTTAGGCCGTGCCACACATCTTGTGGGATCTTTGTTCCCCAACCAGGGATCAAGCCCAGGCCTCCAGCAGTGGAAGTGCCGAGTCCTAACCACTGGACTTCCAGGGAGGTCCCTGTTTGCAGTTTTCATGGAGACTGTCAAACTGCCCCTCTTTGAGTGTCCGTGAGGCTGTGAATATGTTCATGTGTTCAGTAGTCATTGTTACCCACCGTCCATCTGTTTGTCTGCATCTGAACCAGAGATGATTTTTTTTTTTTTTTTTGTCCCCCAGAGGACATTTGGCAATAGATGGAGATCTTCTTTTTAAAAAAATGGCTTTATTGGGTTGTAATTCTCCTACCGAAGTATTCACCAGTGGAGACATTTTTGGTTGTCGCAGCTTGGGGTAAGGGTGGGGGACGCTCCTGCCTCTAGCGTGTAGAGGCCAGGGATGCTGCCCAAACCCTACACCTATGCACAGGACAGCACCTTACAACGCGACCAAGAATAGTCCAGGCCCAACTGTCAATAGTGCCGAAGTTGAGAAGCCCTGGTCCTTTGCTCTGCAGGATCCTTTCTTGCAAGGAGCTGACAGTTGAGCTGCAGAGACAGGAAGAGCCTCACAAGAAGAAGGACAATCCCAATCACCCCTGTACGGTGAGTGGCCCTGGGATGGGACGCTGGGTGCCTGATGCGTGTCAGTCACTTCAGTTAATCACTTTAGAGAAGAGGGGACGGAGCCACAGGGAGGGGAGGGGTGCAGCTGCCTGAAACTTAGGTCCTTCTCTCTCTCTCCTCCTCACAAAGCCTGCATCTCCCTGCATGCAGTCAACAGCAGTGCAGTGGCCGGGGAGGGTGAATTAAGAGTTTGGGATTAACATTTCACCACACTACTATATGTAAAACAGATAACAAGGACCTACTGTATAGCACAGGGAACTCTACTCAATATTCTGTAATAACCTATAAGAGAAAAGAATCTGAAAAAGAATATATATATATACACATATATATGTGTAACTGAATCGGTTTGCTGTACACCCGAAACTAACACAACACTGTAAACCAACTATGCTTCAATAAAAATAAACCCCCCCAAAACAAAAAAAAACCACCCCAAACCAACAACAACAAAAAACCCCAAAAAAACCCCAAACACCTCAGTGCAGTGGCATGTAATATGTTCCAGGCCATTGCTTAACCTGCACGTTTGTTAGGTCATTTAGTCCCCGTGACGACCCTGTCAGGTTGGTCCTCTTATCACCTCCATTTTATAGATGGGGAAACTGAGGCACAGACCATTTAAGCAACTTACCCTAGGTCACACAGCAATACTGATTCTAATACAGTCGGTATTCAACTGTAACTTTCATGGAGAACCTACTACATAATAGGCCCCGTCCGGCATGAGCCTGTTGAATCCTGATAACAAGGCGAGGTGGCCAGCCATTGGTGCCATTCCTCCACACAATGGAAGAGGAAACTGTCTCTTGCTTGAGGTCACCCAGATAAGCAGGCCTGGGAGCTCACTCTCCACTCCATTCATTCCAGCAGAAACAGTATTTAAGGAGCCTGGTCCCTGTGCCACTTAGCGTTCAGGAGCTGGGGGCACAGCAGTGCAAAGAAAGCAAGGTCACTGCCTGTGGGGAGTCAGCCGTCTCGCAGGGAGAAAGACCAAAGCAGAAAAATAAATAGACAACGTCACGTGCAGGAGTGGTGTGTGCGACAAAGAATGAGGAAGCCCGTTTGGACGGAGGGGGCTGAGGGGTAGATCTTGAAGGCAGGGTGGTCAGGGAAGGGGAGGGGAGGTACAGGCAGAGGGAACTGCAAGTACCAGGGCCCACCAAGGGGTCGCGCCAGGCATGCCTGAGGCCCAGCGAGGAGGCCAGTGTGGCCGGGTGGAGAGGGTAAGCGCTGCGCTCGGCGAGGGTGCTGGCTGGATCTGGAGCATTCAGGGCCTTGAGGGCTGTGGTGAGGACTTTGGCTTTGACTCTGAGCAAGACAGAAGCCAGGGGGAGGGCTCCGAGCAGAGGCGGGATGTGATCTGACTCAGGTGTTAACAGGATCCCTCTGGCCATGTGTGCGGACAAACTGGCAGGGGGTGAAGGTGGAACTGGGAGTCCAGTGAGGAGCTGACTTCAGTAGTCCAGGCAAGAAGTGACGGTGGCTGGACCGAGATGTTGGCAGTGGACAGAGTGAGAACTATTAGGTTGTGAATACATATACACATTTTTCTTTTAATTAAAAAAATATATTTTCCCCCTGAGTGTTTCTTTTTTTTTTTTTTTTTTTGGCTGCCTCAGTTCCCCGACCAGGGATTGAACCCCGGCCACTGTAGTGAAACTGCCCAATACTAACCACTAGACCAGGGAACTTACCCCCCCCCAGCCCCCGCCCAAGTATTTCTTTCTTTGTCTTTTATGGTCTTGATATTTTCGAACAACAGGATAATTTTTTTTTTTTTGTAGAACGCCCCTCAATTTGAGTTGCCTCGTGATTAGATGCAGGTCATCCGTTTTTGGCAGGAAGACCACAGAAGTGGCGCCCTGCCCTCAGTGTATCGCATCAGGATGCACACGGTGTTTGTTTGTCCTATTGCTGCACATGTTGGCTTTCGTGCCTAAGTTAGGCTGGTGTCCACCAGGTTTCTCCACCATAAAGTTACTCTTTAGTCTTAACAAGGACTATCTTGTGAGGAGGTACTTTAAGGCTTTGTAGATATCCTGGACCTTCTGAAACGTTCACTGACAAGTTTTAGCATCCATTGACAATTTTAGCTGCCGTCGTACGATGCGGATTTTTCCCTCTCCCCCTTCATGTATTTCTTCATTTATCTATTTACAGTAAGTATGGACTCATGGATTTGGCCCTTTCAAGCTGACTCCTGTGTGACTGGGAATTTGTTTGGAAGATCGCATTTCATGATGGATTGGATGGGCTGTGTGTGAGAGAAGAGAGGAGGCCAGGACTCGTTCTTTCAGCAAATGTATTTATTGCCAGGGACTGGGGATAAAGCTGTGATCAAAGCAGTGCAAAGGCCCTGCTCTCGTGGACCTCATGAATGGTGGTGCCAGTTCCTGGGAAGAGGGGGACTGGGTGAGGGGTGGCACAGATTTTAGGAGGGGGACTCAGGAATTGGGTCTTGGTCAGGTTAAGTGGAGGTGGGGTAGACAGCGCTCTGCTCCCAGGCCTCCGGGCTCCCTCTTCCTGTAGCCCCACACTCCCCATAATGGCTCCCTGCTCTTCTTCTTCACCCAACAGCCAGGATAATGCAGACTCCACTGACCACTACTGTGCCCGTGCTCCGGCTCCCCCGGGGCCCTGATGGCTTGAGCCGAGGCTTTGCGCCCGACGGACGCAGAGCCCTCCTGAAACCGGTGGTTCCTGAAATCCCGGAGTCTCAAGAATCTCGGGAATCCCAGGAACAGCGGGCCCGAGCCGCCCTTCGGGAGCGCTACCTCCGCAGCCTGCTGGCCATGGTGGGGCGCCAGGTGAGCTTCACGTTGCACGAGGGTGTGCATGTGACCGCCCACTTCGGAGCCACTGACCTGGACGTGGCCAACTTCTACGTGTCGCAGCTGCAGACTCCGATAGGCGTGCAGGCTGAGGCGCTGCTCCGGTGTAGTGACATTATCTCATACACCTTCAAACCGTAAAGATGTGATCGTGTTCATCTTTCTTCCTTGGGCGTAGCCACAGCCTCCCAGGCCTCCATATTCTCCTGAGCTTGGACCTCAGGGCCCCAGAGAGTTCGGAACACCCTTGGAATTTTGAGCCAAGCTTCAAGCAACTCTGGCTTCTTGGGACAGTAAAATTCTGCGGCCCCAGGAGTTCTAGATCCTCTTGAAAGGAAGGCTGTACCTCACAGAACTCTAAACTGTACAGATACATGGGCCTCATGCCCATTCCTGAAGATTCCGGGTGGAGAAAGGGAATAAAGGAAGGCAAATTGTCTAGTGGGAAATTGTCTGTTGAAGAGGCTGCAAAGTTCAGCCGCCCTGGAAATACTCCCCTCCTGCCAAAGTACCAGTTATCCCAGGAAAATCTGCCTCCTTTTTTTTTTTTTTTTTTTTAATGTACCCTATAGGGATTGAGCCAGACTTAGGGAGTAGCAGGGTGGCTATCTACGGGCTGAATCCCATGGAGCTGGGCCAGGAAGGGGAGGACACGTCAAGGGAGTGGGAGGAACTCCGATAAAGGTGTGGTGATTGGACCTCCCGCTAGTCTCTGGGAACGCTGGAGCGACCTGGATGCCAGACTTGGGAGATTTGGACTTGATTTCTTTTTCGGGTGGTCTAGGATGTCCATAACGAGTTGCGCTTCTCGCATTGGGTCACATGGTCACGCGCAAGGGCTCCTCCTATTGCCTGGCCTCTGGGTGGGTAGAGTCGCTTCCCGGCCCATACGGGGACTGGTTGGGACCTGTCTAACCCTGTGTGGCGGCACCACTGGGAAAAGGCAGAGGATTAAGGGTTAGGGTGAAACTTTGCCCTTTCTCCATTTCACCCCAGCTGTGTAGCGTGGCCGTCCGTATCACTCGCTTTACTTAGCCCCATTACTAGTAGTCTTTCAGCAGATTTGTTTTTATTTATTTATTTGGCCGCCGCGGGCGGCATGCGGGATCTTAGATTCCGGGCCAGGGATCAAACCCTTGCCCCCTGCAGTGGAAGCGCCGAGTCCTAACCACTGGATCGCCAGGGGATTCCCTCAGCAGATTTACTTTTTTTTTTTTTTTTTGGGACGCGGACCTCTCACTGTTGTGGCCTCTCCCGTTGCGGAGCACAGGCTCCGGACGCGCAGGCCCAGCGGCCATGGCTCACGGGCCCAGCCGCTCCGCGGCATGTGGGATCCTCCCGGACCGGAGCACGAACCCCCGTCCCCTGCATCGGCAGGCGGACTCTCAACCACTGCGCCACCAGGGAAGCCCAGATTTACTTTTAAAAGTAATTTCTGCCCCCTCTGTAGTCCAATCTATTTAAGAAGGTAAGTGAAGATTCCATTAAATATGGATGAGATTTGCTTTGTTCCTCCTCAGTCGTCAAAGCGCGGTGGCCAGTGAAGTTGAATGAAGCATGTGGAGAGCCTCAGCTCCCATATATCCATTCACAGAGCTACCTTTGGCGACTCCTGGGCCTAGCTTCGAGTTGCCTAAGCAACGATGTCGCCTGCTCCTCCCCATGTATCCTTTTTTGGTTTTAGCTCCTCCTTCCCCGAGTTGCCTGTTGGGCTGGGATAGCGTGGAGAAAGTGCGGATGCGAATATTAAGCGACTGAATCGAGCCCTTGTGGGGGCGTGGCTTGAGTTCGTGCTAGTTCGCTACTGGCTCCGTGATCTACCTGGTCCATCGCCCGGTATTTTGGTTGGCAGATTGGTCCCTTGCTTTTGGCATTTCTTCCTTCGTTCAGTTTTTTAAACAACTTAAATCAGGGCTATAATATTCCTTATGGGCTCCTATTTCAATTTTTAAATTTAAATTGTATTTTATACAACGCTATCCAAATACAGAGGGTTATTGATGAAGCTGCAGTCTGCAAATGGAAGGCTAGAGACTAACCAGCAAGTGGGGACTGGCTTCGTCTGCAGGCAGATGGTCCCTCTGTCCGCATCCATCACCTGTACTTATATATTCAACACAGCTTCTGTCGCCTTCCCTTTCAAGTTCTCCATCTCTTTACTTCTGTCCTTACCAGTTGGCCTAGCCCCACCAAGCAGATATTTTTATTTCTATCAACTCCATTCCCTTCTCCGTGCCTGAGCTCGTGACGAATATCTGAGAGCCTAAACATTAGTTATCTAGATTAAAGCGGGGAGGCGCGGTGGGGGCGGCTCAGGTTCGCGCTTGCGTGCTGCTCTGGGAGACGGCGTCCACCTCGCCCCGCCCCTCATATTCTGCAGTTCCGGCTCTGCAGATTCACTGCTCACGTTTCTTTTTCCTGTGGCTCTTTCTGCCTTTTGTTTGCCCCCTTTAACAAAGCACGAGACAACTCTACCTGCAAATAACTTAAATTGATTTTCTGCTTTTCTGGGTACTCGGCGGGCTCACCGGCCTTTAACGAAAGTGCGGCTGCGAACGAGCAGGCGCGCACGGGGCTCGGGGGAGGCGCGCTCGAGCTCCCGGCGGCGACGACTACGACGACCAGGAGAGCGGACGGAGGCGGCGCCTGAAGCAGCGGCTGAGCCCATGCCCCGGGACGGCGGGAGGGCCCGGAGAGATAAGTCCGGGGCCCGGGGCATGTCCCCAGGGCCCCCGTGAGGAGGTGGCGGCGGCGATGGAGGTCCCGCCGCAGGAGGCGCCGCCCGAGCCGGGCGCGGACGGCGAAGCCGAGGAGGCCCCCGCCGAGGCCCCGTCTCCCAGCCCCGCATCGCCCCCGGCCGACGGGCGCCTCAAGGCTGCGGCCAAGCGCGTTACATTCCCGTCCGACGAAGATATCGTGTCCGGAGCTGTGGAACCCAAAGACCCGTGGAGACACGGTAGCTACGGCTGGAGCGTGGAGGCGGGCTGGTGGGGGACCTGGGAGTCAGTGCAGACCCCAGCACAGAGGTGGAGCTCAATAAGTTGCACCTAATGATTTAAGGAGACAGTCGTCAGTTTAGAGCTGGAGAGTGTTAGAGAGGAGGTGGCTGTTGGGTTGGGAAGGTGAAAAGTAGCTGGTTTATGCTACTCCCCCCCTCACCCCCCCCAAGGGACGCTGAAGGTGATCTGTTTAGGAATTGAAACGGTGAGCAATCAAAGAAAGTTTGGTGGCTGGGGAGATTAGGAGGGCGGTAGCCTTTGAGTTTATAGTTTCCCCAGAGAAGGATAAAGCGGTCAGGGGAGGAAGAGTGGGTCAACATTGGCGCTGAAAGGGCAGTTGGAGGAGTTTGATGGGCCCATGGGGACAGAAAGGTTAAGTTGCTGTTCTGCAAGCCTCGGGGCAAGGGATGGTCATGTGGTTCACTTCCTTGGGTGAAAGAAGGAAGAGGAATAAACCTGGATTATGGCTCTAGACCAGTCAGTAGATCCTGGGGCTGGGAAAAGGGAGTCGAAGTAAACAAACTTGCCAGAAAAGTAGCAGAGTTGGTGGTCAGTTTGGGGGTGGGTAAGATAGAGGAGATATTCAGTCTTGGCCTTAAGAAAAGTCACTGCGTGCCTCCTTTTCCTCTCCCCCCAAAAAAAGGGAAGCACAGCACTGTCAGTCACTCAGGAGCAGAGGAACTTTGGAGCCTGGCTCTAGGAGGGTGTTTTTTTTTTTTCTCTTTCCCCTGAGGAAGCATTGGGGAATTGGAGTTGCCGGTCAGTTGAAGGTGAGAGCATTGAAGAACTTTGGTGGCTTGAGGTGTGGGGAGAGAGAGCAAGTCCATGGGCTGTACGTCCTCTGGAGAAGGTCGGCTCAGTGTTGAAACTGAAAGGGCAGTTGGAAGAGTGTGTTTTATCCATAGGGCTGGGAAGGTGGAAAGTTGCTTCAGGGGTGGATTGGCAGTGTTGAGTCCTGGCCAGGTCTGGCAGTCTTGCTGGGATGGAGCCCGCAAAGAGAGGGATCAGCCCGGCCCCGGCTCTACAGAAGTTGGTCTGTTGGCCCTGGGGAGAGAGGAGGAACTGTTGCTAGTCTGTGGGCAGTGGAGAAATTGGTGGCTTTGATGTGAGCGTGGGAGACGTGGGAACTGGAAGCTGAACACACGGGGAACCACCATAAATGCCATCTTGGCCATTAATTGTTAAAGAGACGGTGGTTAATTTAAAATTCTTGGCCTTGGGAGCCAGCCCAGTCCCTGCGCTCTTGGCCCCAGGAGTAGGCGGGCACTTTTGGGTTGGAGGGCTTGGGGGACTGGGGCTGAGGAAGGGAAGAGTTGGAATGGGCCTCGGCTACAGCATGATATCCAGTCCAGGAAGCGGGAAAGACCTGGAGAGGCAGAGCAGGATGGTGATGAGACGGTGCTCCAGTTCAATCCTGACTCCCATGTACCCGAAGCATAACCTCAGGCTGGGTACCTCACTCCTCGGAGCCTCCGTTTCCCATCTGTAAGTGGGTGAGAAAACTACGTCACAGGGTTTCAGAGAGGACTGACTAAGATTGTGTGTGCAAAGTGATTGGCCAGGGTGAGCCTTCATAAAGTCGCAGGTATTGTTGGTCATTTTAGGGGAGATGTTAGGTGCTACTGGTCATTTTAGGGGCCAGCCTAGAGGAGTTGGTTCACGGAGCTGGGACCTGGATGTTTCCGCTTCACAGGCTTCCAGGAGAGGGCCAGAACGGTGGTCCATTTGTGGGCTCGGGGCAAGGGGAAGGGAAGGTGTTCCCGTTTGTGGACCTTAGCGTAGCTGGAGATTCTGGAGCGGGGAGGGGTTGGGAGTGGGGGAAAGTTTCTGGTCTGCAGGTTCCCAGAAGGGGAACAGCTGTGTGTTACCAGCTGTTGGGCTTTGGGGAAGCCATTTTTCCTCTCTAAGCCTCCTGTTTCTTTCTCTGCAAATGGAGGTGCTAATTTCTACTGTGGAGTAGTTGTGAGGATTAAATAAGACAGTCCTTGTAAGTTCCTGCCACATAAATAAGAGCTGCTGTTATCCAGGCAGATTCAGTTCGGTTTTGTTTTTGTTGTTGTTGTTGTTTTTTCTCTTGTGGCAGTTGTGGAGATGCAGTGAAGGAATTTGGAGGGGGGAACCCCCGGGGGGGGAGGGAAGAATGTCGAGAAAGAGGGTCAATTGGCGTCTGGCTGGGAGGGGTTGAGAGGATGAGGATGGTCGCTGACTGGTCTGCCCCCCCCCCCCGTAAGGGGTGGAGGTGGTGATGGCGCACGGGCTGGGGGAGTCTCTCATGCCTGGAAGTTTAGGGAGGGGTGGCAAGGACGGGTATGGACTCACCCTCTGGAGGAGTCGGTGGGTCTGAGGTGGAGAGGTGATGACATGGAGAAATGGATCGATTTTTTTCGGCTGGGAGAGTTGGTCTGTCTGGGCCGGGGAGAGGGGTTGCCACTGACCTGACAGGGAAGGAGTTGGGGGATCTTGGGCCCCAGGCAGAGCAGGGTTCGTTGGTGAAGTTGGTGAGTTTGGATGGTGGGATTTGGCGGGCCTGGCAGTGCCTGAGGACAGTGGAGGGGTGGGCTGGCCTGGGACTGAGGGAGGTGGAGGCTCGCCCCCCAGGCCGTGGCAAGTCGGGCCAAGGATCTGCCTAGTTGAGAGAGCCAAGGATCTTGGCTGGGGGCTTCAGGGAGGAGCCGGCCAGACTTGCAGGAGGGGCAGGAGATCTGTTGGAGTTGGTCTGTAAACTGTGGGAAAGCACAGGGGGTGTCATTTGAGCTGTGGCCCTAGTGGGAAGCGTGAGGAAGGAGTCATTCTGGGGCCTGCTGTGGTGACACGACCCCAAGGCCAAGGGTGAGGGAGGAGTTGGCGGATCTGAATTGGAAGAGAGGTCCTTCAGAAGCTGTTCTCCATCGCAGAGTTGGAGAAGTTGCCTCGGCCAGGAGGTGCAGGAGCTGGGAGCCGGGAGCTGGGAGCAAGCAGCCACTAGAGGAATTGGGGGCCAGCACAGGGCGCCCTTTCAGCAGGGCCTTGCCCTGGGAGGAGAGCTCAGCTAGGCTCTGACACAGCCTCTGACTGGGGTGGAGGAGGGCTGGGACTGAGACTAGGTGGTGACCCAGCTGTGTGGGAGCCTCTGGGGGTGTCTGCCTAAGGCAAGAGCCCCATCAGGCCCTGTCAGAGGTCACGTGTTGGGGGATTCCTGGAGACCAGACGTCTGAAGGAGGGAGATGGTGCAGGAGGGTCTCAGGCCTACAGAGGGTCAACCCGGCCCAGCACTCAGAAGGGCCTTCCCTGGCTCCCATGTCACATGGTGTCCCCGCCTGCCCCCAGTGCCAGGGGCCTGCTTATTTTCTCATTGCACTAAAGGCCATCTCCTGTTACCATGCACGTTTATTTTGTTTCGGTGGTCTCTTTCCCCCGCTGGAATCGGGGAATAGACACTGTCTGTCCTCGTTTCTACCCAGCCCCTCGAAAGACACAACAGTTATCGTGGTTGAATGAACGCCAGGGGCGTGTGTGCAGCCGTTTTGGAAGGGGTGAGGCCAGGCCATCCTTGGGGCCCCTCTAGCCGGGGTGCGCCTCCAGGCCAGCCCTGGCCGCAGCATATGCTGCGGCCCTAGCAAGGCACTTATTCTTGCTGAGCTTGTCTGTCTCCTCATCTGTGAAATTGTGATCCCTGCCCTGCTGACCACCCAGGATATCTGAATGGAGGGCATGGACCTGGTGGGGAAGGCAGGGTCTCTGTGGCAAGCCGGTTGCGAGTGGAAGGGACGTGAAGCTGGGGAGGAGGCTGCCTCAGTACTGCCAGGCTGGGCACAGGGTGCGCTCCACTCTCCCTGTGGGGGGTGGAAGTGGATGCCGGTGGAGGAGGGGCTGGCCTGGTGCACGCCCCCGCCCCCCAGTCCCGTGGCGGCAGGCCCTGCGTTCCCAGCTCCTCTGAGGACCAGGGCCGGTTGTGTACCAGGAACTCTTCAGACCAAACTGCAAGAATGACCTGAGGCTCAGCTGTCTCCCCAGTCCCAGCTGAACGCCATGTGGGGAGGAGACATGGGGTTTGCGAGGCAGGCATCGGGAGAGCACATGACACCGGCTGCGGTCTGGAAGGCTGTCTCCCCTCCCTCCAGTCCCGCCCATGACTCATTCCCTGCTCCCTGACCTCCAGCCTGCGGAGTCTGTCCTGGAGTGGGGGTAGGGGAGTTGTGCCCACCAGGAAGTTCCTCATGTGAAGTGGAGGTGTCTGCAAGGTGCAGGGGGCCGGAACGTGCCCACCTCTAGCTGCCCAAGCTTCGAGGCTGGGGTGGGGAGGGGGGAGGGGTGGTGGGGACAGTGGCCACGATTTTTTTTTTTTTAACATCTTTATTGGAGTATAATTGCTTTACAGTGGTGTGTTAGTTTCTGCTTTATAACAAAGTGAAACAGCTATATGTACACAGGCCATGATGTTCTTAAATGACGATCAGAGAGGATGGAAATAAATGCCTTACTGTTTGTTCTCATTGAAACCCGTGCTGCAAATTCAGTCCTTGAAACTGGTTGGACTGGTGAGAAGGTACCTGTCAGTGGTGGGAGAGGCTCTCTTACTAGTTAATGGCTCGTTTTAGCCTAAGTGGTGGGTGGTCTTGCTGGGGCGGAGGGAGTGGGGTCTTGGGGGGCGGCTTTAATGCTTTCGCCCAGATTTCCATGTGGGCCCAACCTCACCTCCTACTGCCGGTGTTGGCACGTAGACTCTGCCGTGTGATTTTGGGCAATTGTTCTCTCTGCCTGTGATTTTTCTCTCTATAAAATACAGCTGACATTAGTACCTCCTCACAGGGCGGTGAGGATTAAGTGAGATAACAGCGTCAACAGCAAGCACTCGGTGGGTGTCCCCCTCGTTATTCCGGTCGTTGCCAGCCTCCCCCCCCCCCCCCCCCCCGCCCCGCGCCCTCAGTGCATTACTGCCTCCCCTAGCGTCTCCCTCGTCAGAACCCTGCTGTCTGTC